ATGACATGGCGGCAGGAGAGCCGTCGGATCGGCGCTGGAGGGCGATCAACGGCTGTCGGAGGTTTGGAGACGCGGAGCGGGACTGGCGCGCGGAAGCTGGGGAGGATTGACGAGAGGCTTGGTGGGAGCGAAAACCGGTTCGTCTGGTAACCGTTTCGCCAGTGACTCCTGAGGGCAAAAGAACCTCCGGAGAGGGCGAAAGAGGCGTTTCGTTCCACTCGCCGAAGCGCGGAACGAGGACAGGACCCTGCGGACCACGAGTTGGGAGAGGGAGGCGGGGGGAGAGAGAGAGCGGTTGTTCGTTCCATTCTCCGAAACGCGGAACCAGCACAGGACCCTGCAGGCCACGAGTTGAGAGAGGAGGCAGGGGGAGAGAGGGTGAGATTCAGAGGCTTCTAGGATACCCTGAAGATCATACCAGCTCTAAGAAGACAGATTTGGATTAGATCATCAGTAGGAGAGCTAAGAGCTGAAAAGGCAAAGACGTTACTAGGCAGCTGCAGCTGTTTTCAGCCTCGGATTATGTAAACGTTGCATGGTTGATCAGAATGAAAGTAATAAACTCGCCGGATTTCTCCAGACTGAATCGGCGTTTCAGAGCTTCAAGTGACACCCGTATCCACGCACCATGATGGCGCCTCGTGGTGCGCGTCTCAAATGACGCGTGCGCGTCTCGAATGAAGCGAGGCCGCCAACCCGTGAGCCCACCGGCGGTGCACACCCGCTGAATTTCCAATAATACGCCCAGATTTCTTTGAATTATGGGACGTTTGATCGTAGCGACAAGATTCCGCGAGCTTGAAAAAACTATGTTCTCACGGTGGGTTGGTGCCCTCGGTTTTTATTCCGACCAGAATTCACGAGAATTCGCGGCTCAGTTTGGTGGCTCAGTGAGTGTCCGAAATGAAGTCACGCCGGTATTCTGATCTGAGCACGAGAAACAATACCTTCGCACGGCCTAGGCTCCTTTAGTTTCATGGAGGTCACATCCACAGTCGCCAACATTGCGAGGGGCGCTCTGCTGCCAGATTTCACGAGGCTTCTGCTGCTGCCAGGGCTGCTGTATGCGCGCAGAGAGCCTTTCTTCTGACGGCATTCGTGTGGACCTTCACGGGTCCCTGTCCCAGGGTAGTTCACAGTAGTGTCACGCGGCGAATGCGACATACTGTCGTCGCATTCGTCGGACAATCGCAAGAAAGAGGGCGGCTCATCAAGCAGCCGATGAAAGTGGTTCTCCAGGCCAGCCATCATTTGATCCACAATACTACCTTCTGCTGTTGTGACTAGGAGGAGGAATCGCCGTCTGATTCTGCGAAAGGGAAGAACGTCCCTAAGGAAACCTCTGCTGGCTGTTTGGTGTATGGGTTCAGCCGATTTGGTTCTGTTGAGAGGTGAAAAGGTGGGAGGTTGCGCTTCGAAGCACGTCTTGCGAAGACAGCGAACTGTAACAGGTGCACGAAACAGGAAGACGGTGCTGGTTCCCTGTATGCACTGGGCCCCTTTCGGCATGTGCGAGTAATCAGGCTTGAGTTACCATCTGAGATTCGACGCTACGACGTTAGAAACCACGCAACAGCGATTTGAAGCCTTTTGCGAACAGTTTTGAAGATGGTTGTCACGCTGTCTCTTATACGCGAAACAAGCATGATCTGTTTCAATCTAATTCTGGTATGTGAGCAAATGTTCACTATAAACTCAAAACCAGGAATCCTTCCGGTTCCCTCCCCTAGTGTGTCCACGCAGGCCAGCCGTTTGTGAACCGCGTCGCGACCATCTTCCCGCCAAATAGCGGAAATCTATCCTCGTTTGAAACATATACGCGTTGGGTTGTGCCGAAATCTCTGGATGTATATGATGGATAATCCGACAATTGCTGTCAGCAGCACCCAACACTTCGCTCCTCTCTTGAGTTCGCTCGTCTTCCGCTGGTCTCTAGGCTTCGGACACTGGGAAATACGTGTCAGATGGATCCCAGCATATAGCCGTTGCCTGCATTTTCCTAGCTATCTAACTTACTTCTAACTTACCAAGTTACCACATTCTTCGCACGATTAGGACAAGACACAATTGCGATGGTTCATGTCAATTCTCTGTTGCATGTGACCTGAATATTAGTTGTACTAGTTAGTAGTTGCAAGACATGGCCGTAACAGAGGTTCCTAGACCGAATAGTAGTTCCTCAGGAGAAACTACGAGAGGCTCGCGGAAATCGCCTGCGACTAAGTCCGGATCGAAAGCATCGCCATGGCGTCGCAAGGCGACGCTCGTTCCTGCGACAATTTTCGTCCTCACGGCGATCGCATTCTTGCACCACTCGTCACTCCTGCGACGTTACGCGAAGTACATCGATTTCGCAGACGACGACGACGGCGACAGCCGGCGAATTCTCGTGCGCGACGAGCTGCGCGACCCGTGCGACGAATCCCCCAGCGCTGCGACGTGCTCGCGATACAGAATGATCGCATTCGCCATGGGTCCCCTCCCGAATCGCATTCAAACCCTCTGCTTAGCCAACGCCACTGCCGCCATTACCCGCGTCTCTCTCCGTGTCGTTTGGCTAAAAGACGAGGGGATGCTTTACGTGCCGCCCAGTGAGATTCTTTTGAACGGCGGAGGGGGAGTGGGCGGGGGGAAAGCAGGGGGAGGGAGCGTGCGGTCAAGGGGGAAATTCTCTTGGGGAAGGAGAGAGCCGAAGAGGGGGGAAAAGGGGGAAGTGACTATGGCGGGGCAGGGAGGGGGAGGGGGGACGAAAGGGGGCGGACGGGGAGGCGGGCCGGTGGTGATTGATACGGGGGGAACGCTGTCGCCCGTTACTGCCACGAGGGCGTTTCTCGGGCACCCGTTTGTCCCCAAGACGGTAAGGTGGAGGGCGTTACGGCAATCGCGAACGCCTACAATGCGATTTTTGAGAATTTCTAAGAATCGCTCACGAAGGCGTTACGCCGATCATGAACGCCTGCGTTGCTGTCCCTGCATTCCCCTCGTTCCCCTTTCCTGTTCGCAACAACATTTCGAAAATTCTCAACTATACCCTTCCTAGCAATCATGAACACCTGCACGACGTTGAGAAGGTGCTAATGAGTGCTAATGATTGCACCTGCATGACGCATCCCCCTCTCCTCTCCGCGCCTACATTCCACCTGCGCCCCCCTCCTCCCCCCTTCCTCTTCAACATTCCCCCCCGCGTGCTCCCCCCTCTCTCGTCCTCTCCCCCCCCTTTCCTCCTCCCCTCACATTCCCCCCTGCTTTCTCCCCGCACCCTCACCTGCACCAGATGCGGTTTGGGCAGTGTGGGCACAGCAGCGTCATGTTAGACCCCTCTGAAGCGGAACGGCTTACTCTGTCCCCCCTCCTCTTCTCCCTTCTCCTGTCCCTTCCCTTCCCCCAATCACCAGATGCGGTTTGGGCAGTGCGGGCGCAGCAGCGTCGTGTTAGACCCCTCTGAAGCAGAGCGGCTGTCTCTGGACGTCTGGGTGTCTGTGAGAGCGCTCAACCGCACCAACTTCGTGAGTGCTTGCTGGGGGGAAGGGGCAGTAAGGTGGTAAGGGTTCGGGATTTGAGCAGAGGGTGAAGGTGTATGTGCGAGCACTCAACCGCACCAACTTCGTGAGTGCTGTGGGCGTGCGTGCTGGGAGTAACGGGATAAGACGTGGAGGGTTTGGGCAGAGGGTTTGCACAGAGGGCGCGGGGCGCATGTCTCTCTGGTCGTGTGGGTGTCCGTGCGGGCGCTCAACCGCACCAACTTCGTGTGTGTTGGGCGGGGGGAGGGGCAGTAAGGGTGTAGATGGTGAAAAGGTGTAGGCAGAGCGTACAAAAGTCCCATCTTTGGACGTGTGGATGTCTGTGAGAGCGCTCAATCGCACCAACTTCGTGAGTGAAGTTTCAGGGGAAGGGGCGATAAGTGTGTAGGTAGTGAAGGGTTTGGCATATGGGCAGAGGGTGTGGAGCGGCTGTCTCTGGTCGTGTGGGTGTCCGTGCGAGCTCTCAACTGCCATCAACAGGAGAAGGTGGTGGGGTGTCTAGTGTTGGAGGAGTCCCACTGCTGCTACGCTCTCCTGCAACAGTTATCCCTTCACCTCGCTCCCCTCTCCTCCCTCCCATCTTTGCCTCTCCCATACAACAGGAGAAGGTGGTGGGGTGCCTAGTGCTGGAGGAGTTCCACCGCTGCGACGCTCGCGTGCAACCCTCGGAGACAGTTATCTCCTCATGCCTCCCATGCGCCCCCTTTGTGTTGCTCCACGCTCTTGCCTTCCCCCACAACAGGAGAAGGTGGTGGGGTGTTTAGTGTTGGAGGAGTTGTCTCACTGCATAGTTGTCTCATTGCATAGTTGTCTCATTGCATAATTGCCTCATTTAGTTGTCTCACTGCATAGTTGTCTCACTGCATAGTTGTCTCATTGCATAATTGTCTCCTTTAGTTGTCTTATTGCATGATTGTCTCATTTAGTTGTTTCGTTTAGTTGTCTCATTTAGTTGTTTCATTTAGTTGTCTCATTTAGTTGTTTCACTGCATAGTTGTCTCACTGCGTACAACTATGCAGACAACTAGGCTTTGAGGCAACTATGCAGTGAGACAACTATGCAGTGAGACAGCTATGCAGTGAGACAACTATGCAGTGAGACAATTATGCAGTGAAACAATTATGTAATGATACAACTATGTGGACAACTAGGCAGTGAGGCAACTATGCAATGAGACAGCAATGCAGTGAGACAGCTATGCAGTAAGACAGCTATGCAGTGAGACAATTATGCAGTGAGACAATTATGTAATGATACAACTATGCAGACAACTAGGCAGTGAGACAGCTATGCAGTGAGACAACTATGCAGTGAGACAGCTATTCAGTGAGACAGCTATGCAGTGAGACAACTCTGCAGTGAGACAATTATGTAATGATACAACTACGCAGACAACTAGGCAGTGAGACAACTATGCAATGAGACAACTATGCAGTGAGACAACTATGCAGTGAGAAACTAAATAAGACAATTACGCAATGAGACAACTATGCCCGCTGCTACGCTCGCCTACAGCCCTCCTCCCTCGTGCCTCCCTCATGCCTCAACAGGAGAAGGTGGTGGGGTGTTTAGTGCTGGAGGAGTTTCACCGCTGCTACGCTCGCTTGCAGCTGTTACCCCTCACTTCACTCCCCTTTCTGCCTCCCAACCCGTGTTATCAACAGGAGAAGGTGGTGGGGTGTCTGGTGTTGGAGGAGTTTCACCGCTGCTACGCTCTCCTGCAGCAATCCCTTCCCTGCCCCCTCTTTGTCCTTCCCCAATTACTTTCTCTCTTTCCCATACAACAGGAGAAGGTGGTGGGGTGTCTGGTGTTGGAGGAGTTTCACCGCTGCTACGCTCGCCTGCAGCCCTCGGAGACCGTCAGAGGCATCGTGGAGTCCACCAATCTCAACATGACACTTGTCAAGCTGAGCACCGCCGTCTATGTTGACGTATGTACCTGTACCCCTCCTCCCTTCTCTCTCCTGCTCCTCCCCCCTCACACACACTCTCTCGTTTCCAAACGCGTGCAACCTCTCTCCCTTATCCCCTCCACAGTTACATCCTGTCTCGGTTTCCTTCCACATTACATCTCATTTTTGCTTTTTTTTCCTCAACAAAATGCTTCTTCTCCCTCTCTCCTGTCCTCCAACCTTCTTCCCCCATCCCTCCCAGCCCCCCGCCGACCAATCATCCTGCTCCGGCTGCCCGCCGGGCAGGCAAATTTCCGACTGCGCTGCCCGGAGCATCGCAATGGAGATTCTTCGCCGCCCATCGATCGAATTCACCATCGCATCTGAAGACCCCTCCCATCCCACCGCCATCGCCGATTTCTTCGACCCGAATCGCGCCCCTTTCATGCCCCCATCGGCCGAGTTCCGAGCTGCCAGATGCACCGAACCTGCGATCAAAAAGCTCATGGCCACGCCGGGCCTCATGGATGCCGAACCTGGCGCCCCTGCCGGACCTGGCACGCCTGGTTTGGAGGATCAAGTGGGTGGTGCTAAGGGTGTGGGAGGAGGGAGTGGAGGGGGAGGAGGGAGTGGAGGGGGAGGAGGGAGTGGAGGGGGAGTGAAGGGGAGGCAGGGTATACGAATGTGAGTGTAGATGAGTTGGTTAAGGCGATTGCGGTGGCAGCAGAAATGGGGAAGGAGGCGATTGGGGTGGTGGAGGAAGCAGGGAGAGCGGATGCTGAGGCAGTGGAGCGAGCAAGGAGAGTGCTGATCGCGTGTCAACAGCACGAGGTGAGAGCTTCCTGGGTGGGTCTTTTAGTTTAGGGGACTCGAAGGTGATTGGGATGGTTGCAGCGAGGGGAGAGGAGGCGATTGGGAAGGTGAAAGGATGGAGGGAGAGTGGATGCTGGGGCAGTGGAGCGAGCGAGGAGGGTGCTGATCGCGTGTCAACAACATGAGGTGAGAGCGTGTGGGAGCCTCCCTGTTATCGAGGGGGCACAACAACCCTGCACGTTACTGCTGCTGCCTCGTTCCCTCATTCTAGTTCGCTGAACTGCTAATCCCTTCTAACACCCAAGCCATGCTGCACATGCACCCATCGCCAGCAGCTAACAACTCAACCCATTGCGTCTCCCATGCCCTACCGTCTAATTCTCCCCTCCCATTCCCATGCAGTTTGCTGAGCTCCTACTCCTGGCCAAAACCCAAGCCATGCTGCACATGCGACCATCGCCAGCAGCAGACTTCATTCGCGCCCGTGCTCTCGCCCACAACCCCTCATTCCGCATGCTCCCTCCTGTCTGCTACTCGGCCCCCATCCCTCCCATCCCTCGTCAACTCTTCGCCAAATTCTTCGTGGTTGAACGTGAGTGCTGTGTTTCTCATGCTGTGCTCTCGCCCACAACCCTTCGTTCCGCATGCTCCCGCCCGTCTGCTACTCGCCCCCCATCCCTCCCATCCCGCGTCAACTCTTTGCCAAATTCTTCGTTGTCGAACGTGAGTGCCACCTTCCCTAAGCCCGCATCTGTGTCTGTTCACAGATGCATGTCAAGCTGTCCCCATGCTCTTTCCTTCTCCTCATCCCGTCTGCCAAGCTCCGTCCTTCCCTCCCATCCCTCCCATCCCGTCCTTCTCCATGCTCCCCAACAGCATCCCTCAACCTAGCCTACTGCGGCCTCGCATAGGTGGCATGGACCAGTTGGCGCATGTGACTGCGGGCCATGAGGACCATTTCCCTGTGCACACTCTCTGTGGGTGCCTACTATATGCCCACCCACCTATGCTCCTCCCCTTTCCCCCCTCCCCACCCTATGCCACCTGCCCTTACTGCTGCAGCTTCGCTCAACCTCGCCTACTGCGGTCTCCCTAAAGTCGCCTGCACGAGTTGGCGCATGTGGCTACAGGCCATGCTGCACCTGCTACTATCCACTCTCAACTCAATCCCCTTGCACCCTCCAACCCCAATACTCCCCTCAACAGCTTCGCTCAACCTAGCCTACTGCGGTCTCCCCAAGGTGGCCTGCACCAGTTGGCGCATGTGGCTGCGGGCCATGCTGCATCTGCCCAAGCCGGAGGACCATTTCCTCGCCCACAGCTACCAGGGCAGCGGGCTGGGGGACCTCTCCCAGCCTCTCCCAGAAGTGGGCAATCTTTCCTTTCCACCTCCCATTAACCACTCTCAACCGTACTGTACTCTCCAAACCCGCTGTCTCCCCCTTCCCCCACAACAGCGTCACTGAATCTGGCATATTGCGGTCTCCCTAAAGTCGCCTGCACCAGTTGGCGCATGTGGCTGCGGGCCATGCTGCATCTGCCCAAGCCAGAAGACCATTTCCTCGCCCACAGCTACGAGGGCAGCGGGCTGGGGGACCTCTCACAGAAGTTCACCGAGAAGGAAGCAACGCGCGCGATGACGCGGCGAGGGCTGTTCAAGTTCACGTTCGTGCGGAACCCGTTTTCGAGGGTCGTGTCGACTTATCTGAACAAGCTGGTGGTGACTGATGCGCCTGATAGGACCAAGGGGTGGGGGACGAGGCAGTTTTGGAACAAGGTGCGTGAGTGAAGGGGGGCCTGATCTGTTCAAGTTCACGTTCTTGCGGAATCCTTTCTTAAAGGTGAGTATCAACGTATTTGAACAAGCTGGTGGTGACTGATGCGCCTGACAGGACAAAAGGATGGGGCACCAGAGAGTTCTGGAACAAGGTGGGTGTGGGTTGGGGGGAGGGAGGAAAGTGAGGTGGACAGTGTGTGAAAGGGCTGTTCAAATTCACGTTCGTGCGGAACCCGTTTTCGAGGTTCGTTTCGACGTACCTCAATAAGCTGGTTGTCACGGACGCTCCAGATCGCACTAAAGGATGGGGCACCAGAGAGTTCTGGAACAAGGTGCGTGGGAGGGCAGTGAGGGAGGGATGGAGGGCAGTGAGGGAGGGATGGAGGGCAGTGAGGGAGGGATGGAGGGCAGTGAGGGAGGGATGGAGGGCAGTGAGGGAGGGATGGAGGGCAGTGAGGGAGGGATGGAGGGCAGTGAGGGAGGGATGGAGGGCAGTGAGGGAGGGATGGAGGGCAGTGAGGGAGGGATGGAGGGCAGTGAGGGAGGGATGGAGGGCAGTGAGGGAGGGATGGAGGGCAGTGAGGGAGGGATGGAGGGCAGTGAGGGAGGGATGGAGGGCAGTGAGGGAGGGATGGAGGGCAGTGAGGGAGGGATGGAGGGCAGTGAGGGAGGGATGGAGGGCAGTGAGGGAGGGATGGAGGGCAGTGAGGGAGGGATGGAGGGCAGTGAGGGAGGGATGGAGGGCAGTGAGGGAGGGATGGAGGGCAGTGAGGGAGGGATGGAGGGCAGTGAGGGAGGGATGGAGGGCAGTGAGGGAGGGATGGAGGGCAGTGAGGGAGGGATGGAGGGCAGTGAGGGAGGGATGGAGGGCAGTGAGGGAGGGATGGAGGGCAGTGAGGGAGGGATGGAGGGCAGTGAGGGAGGGATGGAGGGCAGTGAGGGAGGGATGGAGGGCAGTGAGGGAGGGATGGAGGGCAGTGAGGGAGGGATGGAGGGCAGTGAGGGAGGGATGGAGGGCAGTGAGGGAGGGATGGAGGGCAGTGAGGGAGGGATGGAGGGCAGTGAGGGAGGGATGGAGGGCAGTGAGGGAGGGATGGAGGGCAGTGAGGGAGGGATGGAGGGCAGTGAGGGAGGGATGGAGGGCAGTGAGGGAGGGATGGAGGGCAGTGAGGGAGGGATGGAGGGCAGTGAGGGAGGGATGGAGGGCAGTGAGGGAGGGATGGAGGGCAGTGAGGGAGGGATGGAGGGCAGTGAGGGAGGGATGGAGGGCAGTGAGGGAGGGATGGAGGGCAGTGAGGGAGGGATGGAGGGCAGTGAGGGAGGGATGGAGGGCAGTGAGGGAGGGATGGAGGGCAGTGAGGGAGGGATGGAGGGCAGTGAGGGAGGGATGGAGGGCAGTGAGGGAGGGATGGAGGGCAGTGAGGGAGGGATGGAGGGCAGTGAGGGAGGGATGGAGGGCAGTGAGGGAGGGATGGAGGGCAGTGAGGGAGGGATGGAGGGCAGTGAGGGAGGGATGGAGGGCAGTGAGGGAGGGATGGAGGGCAGTGAGGGAGGGATGGAGGGCAGTGAGGGAGGGATGGAGGGCAGTGAGGGAGGGATGGAGGGCAGTGAGGGAGGGATGGAGGGCAGTGAGGGAGGGATGGAGGGCAGTGAGGGAGGGATGGAGGGCAGTGAGGGAGGGATGGAGGGCAGTGAGGGAGGGATGGAGGGCAGTGAGGGAGGGATGGAGGGCAGTGAGGGAGGGATGGAGGGCAGTGAGGGAGGGATGGAGGGCAGTGAGGGAGGGATGGAGGGCAGTGAGGGAGGGATGGAGGGCAGTGAGGGAGGGATGGAGGGCAGTGAGGGAGGGATGGAGGGCAGTGAGGGAGGGATGGAGGGCAGTGAGGGAGGGATGGAGGGCAGTGAGGGAGGGATGGAGGGCAGTGAGGGAGGGATGGAGGGCAGTGAGGGAGGGATGGAGGGCAGTGAGGGAGGGATGGAGGGCAGTGAGGGAGGGATGGAGGGCAGTGAGGGAGGGATGGAGGGCAGTGAGGGAGGGATGGAGGGCAGTGAGGGAGGGATGGAGGGCAGTGAGGGAGGGATGGAGGGCAGTGAGGGAGGGATGGAGGGCAGTGAGGGAGGGATGGAGGGCAGTGAGGGAGGGATGGAGGGCAGTGAGGGAGGGATGGAGGGCAGTGAGGGAGGGATGGAGGGCAGTGAGGGAGGGATGGAGGGCAGTGAGGGAGGGATGGAGGGCAGTGAGGGAGGGATGGAGGGCAGTGAGGGAGGGATGGAGGGCAGTGAGGGAGGGATGGAGGGCAGTGAGGGAGGGATGGAGGGCAGTGAGGGAGGGATGGAGGGCAGTGAGGGAGGGATGGAGGGCAGTGAGGGAGGGATGGAGGGCAGTGAGGGAGGGATGGAGGGCAGTGAGGGAGGGATGGAGGGCAGTGAGGGAGGGATGGAGGGCAGTGAGGGAGGGATGGAGGGCAGTGAGGGAGGGATGGAGGGCAGTGAGGGAGGGATGGAGGGCAGTGAGGGAGGGATGGAGGGCAGTGAGGGAGGGATGGAGGGCAGTGAGGGAGGGATGGAGGGCAGTGAGGGAGGGATGGAGGGCAGCGGGCTGGGGGACCTCTCGCAGAAAGAGGCTACACGGGGGCGATGATGCGGCGAGGGCTGTTCAAATTCACGTTCGTGCGGAATCCGTTCTCAAGGGTGGTTTCGACTTACCTCAATAAGCTGGTGGTGACTGATGCCCCTGACAGGACCAAAGGATGGGGCACCAGAGAGTTCTGGAACAAGGTGCGTGGGTGAAGGGGGGCCTGCTCTGTCTGTGTTCAAGTTCACGTTCGTGCGGAATCCGTTCTCAAGGGTGGTTTCGACTTATTTGAACAAGTTGGTTGTCACGGACGCTCCAGATTGGACGAAGGGGTGGGGCATGAGAGAGTTCTGGAACAAGGTGCGTGGGAGGGTGGGTGGGGAAAGGGAAAGGGAGGGCAGGCAGTGAGTGAGGGAGGGTGGGCAGCGGGCTGGGCGACCCTTCCCATGAATTTCCCGAAAATGAGGCGACACGAGCAAATCGATCTGCTCCCGTCCGGAACTTTTCGGAACCATACAGCCCTTCTTAAACCTACTCAAATCCCTTCTCTCCTCTTTCCCGCTCATCCTCATTTTCTTCCATCAGGAGCTCTTTGGGAGCGTACAGCCCTTCTTCGACCTGCTCATAGACCCAGCCACGCAGCTCATTAAAAGGCCTTCTCTAAAACCCTCTTATCTCCTTTCCCCTCTGGTCTCCACAGGAGCTCTTTGGATCCGTACAGCCCTTCTTTGACCTGCTCAAAGACCCAGCTACGCAGCTCGTATCATTCCATGACTTTATGCGCTTAGTGGAGCACCTTATAAGGGGGCAGAAACCCCTAGACCGCCACATCACCCCTCAAGTGGATCTCTGCGCCTTGGATCAAATACAGTACGACTACGTGGGGCACTTTGAGAATCTGGAGGACGGGGTTCGGGTGGTAACCGCGCGTTACAACCACTCGAATATACACCTGTTTAAGTTTGGAAAAGAAGCGCATGCGACTGGAACAGATCTCAAGCTCGCTCGGTTATATGATGCAGTAAGTGATTGTGTGGTGTGAGGTGTACAATATACGTGGTATATGTGATGTGTGATATGTGTTTTGTGGTATTGTGCTATGTGATATAGGATGTGCAATACGAGATGTGTGGTGTGCGTTTTATGAACTGTGGTACGGTGAGATTGGATGTGGGTTGTGCAATAAGGGGGCTTTGGTATGTGATGTGTGAGCCTGGGTGGCTTGTATTGTCCTATGTGTGCATGCATGTGATATAATGATACAGCGTCATCTTGTTTGCGGACTGTCCTGTTTCATACGGTCCTGTCCCTTCTTCCGTGCACTCAATCATCAATGCTTTGGTCTGATGTACCGTCATTTTTTTCCCAAGTCCCCACCCCACCGTGCTTGTTCCTCATTTTACCTAGTTATGCTCCTCTCAAAACAACCCCTTGCAATGTACCTCCTCACATCTTTGCCCATTCTGCAGGAGACAATCCGACGTGTCTCCAAGGTATACAGTAAGGACTTCAATATAACTCTCAACAATATACACTTTGACGTACCACCCATCCTGCAAAAACTTATCGCAGATGAGTAATCCCATAGGTGCATACTCTGCTCTCTGTAACAAATATTGTTTCTTTACAAGTTATAATCTCACGTGAGCGTTATGCTGTAGAAAACGTCCAGTGGGTCCCCTCACACAAGTACAGGCAGCACCATTACAATCTATTCAGCGGAACAGGGGACAGTCACAACACAAGATTCAGGTCACCCTTGTTTCTGTTTCATGCAGCAGCAGCCTGTCACGAAAAAAACATACAATTCAGAAACTACAGTAATTGAAATTCATCACTGATCCAGATGATAAAATATTTACACAACACGCCGTGCTGAAAGACAATCAAGCAAATACGGTACCGTAAGCAGCCCCCTCCCCCTCCCCCCCCCCCCCCCACCATCCACCCACCCACCCACAAGGACAAATGGGCTGCTGCCTGCGGCCTTCCCTTTCCTGCCAGAGAAACTTACACCAGCCCCACAGAATTGGTGGGCACTGTTGAGCCACAGCGCCCCAAGAGACCTGATGAGGCATAAGGCAGTCAGACTCATGGTCCTGCGAAATAACAGAGACAAAACATCTACAACAACCAGGCCTCCTTTATAAGCAGGCCTGGGAATGAATCTCTCTTCTCCTCGCCGCGCAACCTGCTTCCATAGTTAAGGCAAAGGCCCTGAGGTGGAAACATGAAGCGCCCCTAAGCAAGCATGGCAGCAACTGTATTGGAGCACGGCAGGGCTTCCCCACCTGCTGCAGTCACCACTATTTCTTAAGACACTATTTTTGGAATGTATGGTGCGGCAGCGCAGCAGCACGCCCATTATGCCCTCACCGGCTGCAGTCACCACTATTTCTTAAGACACTATTTTTGGGCTGTATGGGGCAGCAGGGCAGCAGCACGCCCATAATGCCCTCACCAGCTGCTGTCACCACTATTTTCAAGACGCTATTCTTGGCCCGCATGTGGCGGCAGGGCAGCAGCACTGCCCACGCCCATAATCCCCCCGTTGAAATGGATGGGCGGGTGCGCAGACATGGGGTAGCGGTGTGCTCCTGGCAAGTGTGACAAAAACGAGGGCTGTGGGGCGGCAGGGACGTGGGCGGCAGGGACGTGGGCGGCAGGGATGTGGGCGGCAGTGGCGGGTAACATAATCATTCTCTGGAGACCAAATTGAGATGAGGAACCTGGGGGGAACGCCGGTCCTGCTACAGCCATGCCTGCGGCTGTAGCAGCAGCTGTAGCAACCCCATGCCCAATCCCCACTCCTGCCCCTCCTGCCCCTCCTGCTCCGCCCACTCCTGCTCCTCCTCCTCCAATTCCCCCTGCTGCAGCAGCACCAGCAGACCCACCACCAGCACCAGCACCAGCAGCACCAGCACCAGCACCAGCACCAGCAGCAGCGGCAGCAGCGTTTCTCGGGGCGAGGGGGCGCAGATTGGTGGTGGCACCACAGGGGCCAATTTTGGAAGGCACCTTCTTCTGCCTCCCCCTCTTCCTCTTCACTATCAGCTCCGCACTCACTCCCCCTGCCCCCACTCCTCCTCCCACTCCTCCCACTCCTCCTGCCGCTGCCCCTACTGCCCCTCCTCCCACCCCGCCTGTCCCCACTCCCCCTGCCTGTCCCGCTGTACCTGCCATTGCACCCACTCCTGCCCTGCTCGCAATGCTGCTGCCCCCACTGCTCATACTAACACTCATGCTGCCCCCTCCCATCCCATACATGCCCATTCTCCCACCTGACACCCCTGCTGCACCTGCAGGTGAGAATCCCACCATGTGGTGCTGAGGATGGTGTGAGATGTGTGGGTGGTACGGGTGGTGCATAGGGTGTGCCGGGACCATTGTTGCAGGCACCTGACCGACCACCTGACGCATCCCAGGAGAAATCTGGTGCACAGCTCCAGGCCCACCGGCCATCATCAGGTGCATGCGCTCAGGTGCTGCAACAGACCCAGGAACCCCCCCATGGAAGAAACCACCTGAGAAAGCACCTGGCCGACTACCTGAAAAACCACCTGGCATTGCTCCTGCTGCTCCCAGAGACCCTGGCAGGAACCCTGCTCCAGGCGCCACGCTAGCAGCCGAAGGGAAGCCATAGGGACCTTGATGGTGAGTGAGAGGAGAGGGGGTAGTAGGGGAAAAGGAAGAGCTCATTATGACAGATCCCACAGGTGCTGCTGGTGCTGATGCTGCCAGTTGCTGCCTTGCCTTCAGCTGCTGCTGCTGTATTGAGCGTGATGCTGCTGTTACACCTCCTCCCTGAGCTTTCTTTCCTGCGGCGGGGACTGCTATCGGGGATGCCTTTATGGGGTACAGTGTGGGGGTTGGGCATCTTTTTGTTGGCTGCCGCTACTGCTGCTGCTGCTACCCCCGCAGGGAACCCCGAGTCCTGCTGCACTGCTCGCAGCTGCAGCAGCGGGAGCAGCAGCAGTGAGAGTACCACCCCTACTGCTGCTACCACCAGCAGCATTACCAGTGGCATTACCAGCAATAGCCGCGCTCGCAGAAGCAGCAGCACTACCACCAGCAGCATTACCACCAACAGCATTACCACTACTAGCTCCTGTTTCTGCCCCTTGCTCTGCCCCTTCACCCCCCTTCCCCTTCTCCACCTCTCCCTCCACCTGCATACTACTCACACCACTACTGACAGCAGCAGCAGCACCGCTCCCAGCTGCCCCAGACGCATCCCCCATACAAGCATCTTCGTCACCACGCATGGACGAAGGCACGAGCACCATGGGTGGAATACGGTTCATATCACTAGCTGCTGCAAGTGCAGCTTCTGATGTGGTCCCTGCTGCTGCAGTAGCTGCTACTGCCACAGAGTCTGCTCCCTCTATACCAGCCCTCCCCTCTCCCACTGCTTCTCCTCCGCCCTGCACCACATGCAACCCAGCCCGTTTCTCTGACCCACCTCCCCCTATTCCACCTTCCCCAGGTATACCTTTCCCCTTGTCCTTAGGCAGAGAGGCACCGCCAGTACAGAGGCTAGCAGAGGAGTTGATTCGAGTGCCAAGTCCCTTCAAACCATGTTCAGTGGAACTCAGACCCTCGCCCGCCGAACCTGCAGCAGCAGCTGCCGCACCAGCAGCCTCGGGCGCAGAAACAGCCCCTTTACAAGCAAACCCAATAGTGGCAGCTGGGTCGGCACGGGGCCGGATTCGGCGGCCCTTTTCCTGTAGCATCCCTTGCATTTGCTCGTTATGAATAGAAGGCAGAGAGTGGCTTGGGTGGTAGTGGGGGTGGAAGGAGTGTGGCGTGGGAGGCGAGTGGGAGAGGAAGGAGTGGGCAGTGGTTGGGGGCGAGTGGGCGAGATATGACAAGCCGTGGAAGCTGGAAGGAGCATGGGGATGCCTGTGCAGGGCCAAATGTGCATAGTACCTGCCAGCAGCAGCAGCAGCACCAGCAGCACCAGCAGGAGCACCAGCAGCAGCATAACTGCCAGAAGCAGCATCATAAGCCCCATGGTGGGTGGCAGTGACACTGCCCATTCCCATTCCCATTCCCATTCCCATTCCCATGCCCATTCCCATGCCCATGCGTTCCCCTGTCACTCCCCTGTGCGCTTGCATCATGGATCCACGTGTCAGAGATTGATTCGCTAAGGAGTGATGCGCTAAGGGCGGATGCGCTACAGACGACATCGAGTACACCTGAGGCGGGAATGCTGTGGCAGGCGCTGATGCTGACAGATGGGAAAACACACTGGAATGCCCAGGAGGAGACGGAGACACGCCAAACGGATTTCCAGGCGCAATGAACGCAGCTGAAACTCCTCCCGGGCCCTTATAACGAGAACTGGAGAGCCTCTTAGAGGGTATAGCGCGGGCAGAAGAAGGGCCTGAGTGTGTGGCGGTTCTTTTGAGGGGGCCGCTGACAGTCAGTGCTGCTGAGGCTGCTGGGTAAGGGGTGGAGGAGGATGTAGAGCGGTGCAGAGGAGGGGAAGTGCGCGAGGGGGGGAGGGTGCCGAAGGAGTGCGAGGGGAGGGGGGGCGTGTGGGAGCAGTTGGAAGGGGAGGGCATGGGACTGCTGGTGGAGGGACGAGGCTCAGTGATGGCTGATGACATTGCTGCTCTCTTTCGCGTTGGGATATCTGAAACAGAGAGGGGATGGGACGGAGGGCAGGAAGGGTGTTGAAACAAAAGGTGACGATGCGACAAACAGCAGATGCAAGAAAAAGGTTCAAGAGAATATATGGGATATGGAGCGACAACATAGGCCAAAGGACGGGGTAGGGAGTGAAGGCAAGGGAAGGAGGGAAGGGGTGTGAAGGAGGAGGGGAAAGGCTGCAACGGAGAGAAATGTACCTCGAGCAGCAGGCTGGCTTGGCTTCCCTGGCTGATCCTGCTTCAGGGGCTGCTCGGCAGCAGCAGCAGCGCCCACACGGCTGCCAACACCAGCAGCAGCAGTAGCAACAACAGCAACGGTACCAGCAGCACCAGTACCAGCAGCAGCAGCACTGGCAGCAGCGAGAGTCCCAGCAGCTGGATCGGGCACCTGGGCTGACACCTGAACGCGATTCACCTGGCCCTGAGCCTGCTCTGCCTTAACCTGCTTCCCAGCCTGCGCTTTCTCCTGGGCGGATTTACTCTTGGCCTGGCCAGCCCGAGGCTTGTTCTGCTGGGTTGAGGCCTTGGGCTGCTGGGCAGGGGGCATGACGGGCATGCCCCAAGACATGAACATCATATCACAGTCCATCGCCTCCCCATGCACATCAACCCCTGCTTCCCCGCCCAGCCCTGCTGTCCCCCCTGCTTCCGCCCCCCCCCCCCCCCCCTCATTCTCCCCTTCCCCCTCCCCTTCCCCGTCGCCTTCCCCTTCCCCTTCCCCTGCCCCATCTCCATCCCCCCCTGCTGTCCCTGCAGCGGCTCCCTCTGCTTCCGCCTCCTTCGCTCCACCTAAAAGCTCCGCCCCCGCGCTCATCCCTCCAGCCCCTGCTGCTTCCACTACTGCCCCCTCCGCAGCTGACATGCTCGGTACAGTCACACCCGCTGCAGTCACCCCAGCCGCGTCCTCATGTGCTGTCCCAAACCCCCAAAAGGCAGCAAAGTCGAGATCAAACGATGGCTCCTCCAGTAGCATGTGCCCCCCAAGGTGGCCAAATCCGCTGAACCCACTGACAAACGGACTAGCAGCAAACGGGCCAGACGCAAACGGCGCAGCAAAGGCGCTGAAGTCAGCATCTGTGTCCGTATTGAGCTCCAAGGCCGCCACGTCAGCACCACCGTCGGCCACGTCATGCTCACCATCAGCCACATCATCATCACCATCATCACCATCGTCGTCATCATCACCATCACCATCACCATTATCATCATTAGCGAGATTCCCCTCCTCGTGGCCTGCTTGAGCCAGCTCTTCCACAGCTGCACCTGACTGTAGCACGCTCATGAGGCACCCGCCCCGCACACGCTTGTCTGACGTCAGCGCCTGGTGCCCACGGCACAGAGGGGCCGGACCCCCGTCCACGCCGCATGACAAACCACCACCACCAGCAGCAGTGGCACCAACACCACCGCCTGACACTCCAGTACCTGCTCCGGCTGTCTCCGCTCCTGTGTCTGCTCCTGCTGCTGGTTGCGAGAAGTCATGCAAGAGAGCGTGCGCGGACGTACGGGGTGGGATGTGAGGAGGGCGACGAGCAGTGGCCACGTCTTCACAGCCCGGCCAGGAGCACCAGGCGAGGTCATCAGGCAGGCTAGAGCACTCCGATAGCACATCCCCCTCTTCTCCTCGCTCCACTGTCCACTCCCCACCCCCCTCTTGCCTTAAGGCTCCCTCTCCGTCCTGAGTTAAGCCTCCGTCCCGCATACAAGCTTCCCCGTTGTGCGCACTGAAGCCGTCTCCCTGGCCTCGCGCTCCCTCTCCCATGCACCCCGCAACGCCAGAAACAGCGCCACCTGAAACAGCACCGCCAGATGCGTCACCACCAGATACCTCTCCACCAGAAACATCCACAATAGAAGCATCTCCGATAGAAGCATCACCGGCAGAAACAGCACCAACAGGACGAGCATCAGCAGTATCCACAACTACACCGCCTGCCACACAGGCATCAGGTCCACACTGGCCTCCATCTCCTAGCAAATCCCCCGGAATCCCCTCCTCCCCTTCCCCTTCCCCAGGAACCATCAGCCAATCAGCGAACTCCACGTCCGCCACGTCGTCCCGTACCCCCGCCCCGCCTTCCCCTCTTCCGCCTCCCGCCCTCCCCGCTTCCTCTGCCCCAGCGCCCCCCGCGTCCCCCCATCCCATCTCCGAATCCGGAAGCGCACACCGCTGCTGCTCCTGCACTGGAAGCCCTGTAAACAACCCTCCGCTTTGCGCCGAAAACGGCCCTCCACTACCGACAGGAATCGTTTCTCCAGATGCTCCAGGAAACCAAGGCCTCTCTGCCTCGGCGTTACCAGAGTTAGCGCCAATAGGCTTCAAGTCACCCGCTTCTGCAACGGCCGCGCCGACCGTGGGCCTGTGCACAAAGCTCTCATGCTCGCGGACCGTTTCTAAGAACCTGTCCCCCGCCCACCGCAGTGGCAGAGACCTCGCCTCGCCCGCTCCCCGCCCCGGCCCTCCTTCTCCTGCTCCTGCTGCTCCTCCTGCTGCTGCTCCTGCTGCTGCTGCGCTGCCTAACGAGCTGGGACCCCACCCTTTAGCCTGTCGCCCGTGCGCCTTGCTCGCAAGGCCCGCACGAGACACTAAACCTGCGTGCTCTTCTGGCCGACTGGCCGTGAACACGAATCCTGTATGGCCGAACTGAGCACTGCTGCTGCTGCTGCCATTGTTCAAGCTGTTGCTATTGTTTTTGTGGCTATCCAGAGGCGCGGATTCCTGAACTCCAGGCAGTTGACCGCAACTGCTGCTTCCCCCACCGTACTCCACCCCTCCAGCATACCCCATCACTGCTCCGCTTGTACTTCTTCTACCTTCTATAGGCAACCCACTGCCGTAATCGGATCGCGCTCTCCGCCCGCTGTCCCACGAACCACCGCCTGACGCGTGTTCCGCGTCGTCCTCCGACCTTTCTACTTCCTCCATGAGGCTCCAGGTTCGGCCCGAGCCGGGCCTGGTTCGGGCAGGAGCCGAGCCTTCATAGACCGGATTGAGTGCGTACGAGGCGAACCGGCTGTTCGAGGCGGCATTAGCGCCGACCCCGTGATTCCCGGGATGCCACGTGGAGAGTTCGGGAACGGAAGCGGAGGAGCCGAAAGCGTGCGGGTGCCAGTTCGTGCGATCGAAAGTCATGGCCTCGCCTATCAGTAGCGAGGCCTCCTATAAGTGGGTGAGAACGAGGAAGCGGGTGAGATTGAGGAAGAGGGTGGGAAGGTCGAAAATACGCAAGTTGAGGAAGAAAGTGATGTAAGTAAGAGCATATCCGCTTTACCCGCTTTCAAAGAGACAAAACGGTATTATTTGGGTGTGGACGAAGAAAAAGCAAGTCGAAAGAGTGACAACGAAAAATATCAGATTGACAATTGCGTGAGAACTCTGAGACTGCTACCAACCTCGAAGGAAGGAGACGTGGAAAGCTCCGGGATGCCGTGGATCGCGGAAGGTGGCCTGTTAGCGGGATACCGCGAAACCCCTTGGCTGTAAGAACGATGTGGGGTCGGTCTAGGTGCAGCAGACGGACGCATCGCTCCAGGCAGAGGTCCTGCAAGGTTAAAACGACAAACATGTTGACGCAAAATCTAAAATCCTACATATCTGATCAACGACGGCTTTCCGGACGGTACAGGTTCATGAGAACTAATGAAAGTAAGGGTCAATTGAGGGAGTGTGCAAGAAGCGGGTGGAACTTTCAAACAACGAATTTGGAAACACTATCGGTTGGTTCTTTAAAAAAACCTCGTTTCGTTATGCTGGCCATGCGAATACACGTGAAAAAGCTGTTACCTGAAGCGGAAGGGCGAGAGGTCCAAGGATCCGGAACGGCAGTGTGATCGGACGAAGGCATTCTACCAGTTGTTACCATAGCCATGGACAGACCTGTCAGGAAATTAGTTGGTCTCTGGGAATTCTCAACAACCAACTAGCTTTCCTCCTGTTGTCACCATAGCTACGGACAGCCCTGACAAGAGAGAAAGCCGTTCTACTCCTGTATCACTACAGGGAATGGATACTCGCATGAAAGAGCAGACCGTAGACCGTAGATGAGAAATTAGGGTTCTGTAAGCTGCGTCTCTGGTTCTGATGGACCGTAGATGGAGCAACGAGCGAGGTCAGCAACGTGCAAGGCAAAAACACAGCACACACACACTGATCGCCCCGACACGGAAACCTGGTCAGTCACGCCCTCCTGGAGTATCCCCAATCCAATCAGAAAGAGAGACTGGCTGAATATTCTGATTCATGAAACCCTGGGATTTGACCTAGCAGGAGGGAGGGAAAGAGGGAGAGGTGGAACTTGGAAGGGAGGGTGGCCTAGCTGGGGAAGCGACGGAACGGGAGAACTGGTTGCCCGCGCTGGTAGTTTCCCGCGCCAGACTGGTGAGAAACAGGCGGGGGAGTTCCCGAGGCTCGGAGCGGGAGCTGAACGACCGGGGGATTTCTCGAGGTGCGTTCGGCTCGGGTTGAGGGTGTACCAGTTAGGTCTGTTTGGTGGTATGGGATGGAACCGACGGTCAGAGAATGCCCGGGATTTACGAACCACAGCGGTAGGTTTGGTTCAGTGACCAGCACAAGACTACACGTGTACAACCCCCTGATGTGTGGCGGCTGTTGTGGAAAAATCTGACAGCCGAATATGTTTTTCCCTAGCTGACCCGCGCGAACTCTCTTCACGTGAAGAAATTTATTTCGACGGACAGGAACACAGCACCTTGCCCTCAGTCCAAGCTTCTAGGGCCAGCCCAAAAACCAGGGTAGCTGCGGACGTCAGCAGCAGCCCAACAAAGTTCTAGGAGATGAGGAGTGTGCTCCGATTGAAACATATAAAACATCTGATCAGAAATGCACACGGATTAATCTAATCTCATATAATATTAATCTGGACCCAAAACAACACAAACTTTAGCAACACCGAACACGTACGGTACACCCCCTTCACCATAGAATACTATCCATGCCATCGTCACCAGCCTCCAAATATAGAGGCATGTCCAGAGCCCACATGCCAGCATCAACATCATGACATGTGGCATCAGGATCATCATCTTGGCATTGCTCTAGCTTCATCATCATCCCTGATGCACCTTGCTCGCGTGCACCTGAACCATAAGCAGCCAGAGCACCTGAACCACCTGAAGCATTGCCATACACAGCTGGAACGCCAACAACAGTGGCCGACCCTGGATCCGCTGCACCTGAAGCATCACCTGAAGCAGCACCTGAAGCTGCACCTGGAGCGGCAGCATCAGGGCCGGAGCTTGGAAACAGCAGGCACGCTGACATGTCAGTGAATTGAGCCGGCAAATCAATAAGCACATCGATGTTACCGTTGCCCTCCACCCTCTCTGCCTTTTCAGCCTTTTCTGAACCTGGACTGCCAGCAGCAGGAACAGCAGCAGCAGCAGAAGCAGTGGCAGCAGCAGGGTTTCTGACTGTGCTCGTAATGTTGGGAATGACACCTGAAAAAGGGATGGTGCCTGAAGCAGGAATGGCACCTGAAGCACCTGAAGCACCTGGGGCACCTGAAGCACCTGAAGGCAACAGCTTGTTGCAATCTGACAGCTCCGATGCAACTTCGCTTGCAAAACTGAAACACAGCACAGCAGAAAACGACAGGAGAACGGCAGAGATCAGAGAGCAGGATGATGAGAGAGGAACTGATCAACTACTCAAGCAGTGAAGCAAAAGCTTGGCGTTCAGTTCGGAAAAGAAAAGATATCAAAATTCCGAACCATGGTGCTGAGATAGGGATAGAATGGAGCTAGCTGCTCACCTCTCAGTGTCACTGCAATACTCCTGCATGTACTTGTGCGCCTTGCTGTTGCTCCCTCATTGCTGCTGCTAGAATGCTCACCTCTCAGTGTCACTGCAATACTCCTGCATGTACTTGTGCGCCTTGCTGTTGCTCCCTCTACGCACACAGTGCATTTCTATTACTGCTGTGCATTGCTGCTGCTAGAATGCTCACCTCTCAGTGTCACTGCAATACTCCTGCATGTACTTGTGCGCCTTGCTGTTGCTCCCTCTACGCACACAGTGCATTTCTATTACTGCTGTGCATTGCTGCTGCTAGAATGCTCACCTCTCAGTGTCACTGCAATACTCCTGCATGTACTTGTGCGCCTTGCTGTTCCTCTTGGTGCGCAGAAACGGAGACATGCCGTTCACACAGGCAGCTGTAGCAGCAGCTGTGGCAGCAGCAGCATCACCAGCGGCAATAGCCACGTTGCTGGTGCCAGGAACACTACCAGCAGCAGCAGAACCAGCAACACCACCCTTGCATGCAGCTACAGTCCCCATACCACCACCTTCACCATCACCAGCACCTGCAGCAGCATCACCATCACTAGCAGCGCCAGCAGCAGCGGGGGGGTTTGGGTCGGCGAAGTTTGTCTGGGCATCGGCGCCCCGTATGGTTCGGGCTGCAGCGTCATAGGCCCTAGCAGCGTCCTCTGCTGTGTCGTACGTGCCCAGCCACAGCCGCACCCCCCTCGCTGGGTCCCTGATTTCCGCAGCCCACTGGAAGACAGGGGGAGAGAGAGAGAGGGAGAGAGAGAAAGAGTGGGAGAGTGGGAGAGGGGGGCACGTGAGGAAGAGGCGTCATAGGCCCGAGCAGCGTCCTCTGCTGTGTCATATGTGCCCAGCCACAAGCGCACTCCCCTCGCTGGGTCCCTGATCTCAGCCGCCCACTGGAAGACAGGAAGGGGTATACGGGTAGGGAGAGAGAGAGAGGGGGGTGAGGTTTACAGTGAGGGATAATACAGCTTCCCTTAGCCCTTTTCTATTCGCTGCGCCCTGTTCGCTTGCGTGATCAATTTCCAGCTCTTTGTTTATTTATGAACATATAAATGAATTGAAAACTCTCACCTTACCCCAGGGACGCTGCCTCACGCCGCGGTAGCAGTGAGTCGCCTTGTTCTTGCCCTCACCAGAAGCTGTACCATTATGGCAATCCTTGCCAGGAACACACTGAGCGCGGCTTACCTTGCTCTGTTCAAATAGACTCACCTTGCTCTGTTCAAATAGACTCACCTTGCCCCAGGGCCGCTGCCTCACGCCGCGGTACCGGTGAGCCGCCTTGTCCTTGCCCTCACCAGAAGCCGTATGGCAATCCTTGCCGGGAACACACTGAGCGCGGCTCACCTTGCTCTGTTCAAATAGACCCAAATGCCCCAGGGCCGCTGCCTAACGCCGCGGTACCGGCCTATAATAGAAAAGCCTCACCTTGCCCCAGGGCCGCTGCCTCACGCCGCGGTAGCGGTGAGCCGCCTTGTCCTTGCCCTCGCCCCGCTTCAGCTTCCCGTGCTGCTTCTCCTTCCCCTGCATTGCCTGCATCCCTTGCATCCCTTGCATGCCTTGCATGCCCTGCATCCCGTGCATTGCTTGCATGTCCTGTAGTGTGTGCATGCCCTGCATCGGTGGCATCACTTGAAACGCTTGCATTCCTTGCACGCCTTGCATGCCCTGCACCCCCTGCATGCCTTGCATGCCCTGCATGGCTTGCAAGTCCTGAAATCCTTGCACCCCTTGCATGCTGTGCATGCCTTGCATGCCTTGTATCCCATGCGCCCCTTGCACAGCTTGTTGCCTCTGCATCTCCTGTAACTCTTGCATGCCTGGCATGCTCTCCACTCGCTGCAGGCCTTGCTGTCCCTGCACTCCTTGTATCCCTTGCAACCCTTGCATGCCGTTCATGCCTTGCATGCCTTGCACCATATGAAATCCTTGCAAACCCCCCATGCCCCCCATCTCGACTCCCCCCATACCCGCCATTCCCCCCATTCCCGCCATCCCCCCCATACCCACCATTCCCCCCATGCCCCCCATTCCCGCCATTCCCCCCATCCCGGCCATCCCCCCCATTACCCCCATCCCTTGCGGTAGGCTCCCCATCCCCGCCATCTCCGCTCCCCCCTGCTCCTGCGCCAATCCCCCCGCGCCCATAATCGGCGCAAAGGCAAAAGCCCCCTCATGCGGCGCGAATGGAAGAAACGGGGAAGCTTCTACTGCGTATAGGGCTCCATACTGCGCCGGCAGGCTCTGGCCGGCAGAACTGCCGGCCATTCCGGGCATGGCCGTCAAGTAGCCCATCGGCATAGACGCGGCAGCGGCAGCTGACGGCGGCGCGACCCGCCAGTACATGGGCGGGAAGTTCCGCGCGCTCTGCACGCCCGCGGGGGAAGCTGCGCCCGCGGGAGCTGCGCCTGCGGAAACACCAGCGGGAGCGCGGGGGACGGATGTAGGGGGACCCGCGGAAGACGCGCGGGGAGGAGGGTGTGTGGGCACGAGAGCGGCGGACGGAGGAGGGGCGGAGGGCGCGGACAGGGCGGAACGGGCGGAAGAAGCGGAAGGAGGGGAGGAAGCGGAAGGAGGAGAAATGGCGGAGCGAGGAGAGAGAGGGCTGGAAGCGGACGGAGCGGCGGGAGCAGGCTTAGGGGAAGGACGGGCGGAAGCGGAAGGGGCGGACAGGGCGGAGGGGGCGGAGGGGGCGGAGGGCAGATTGGGTCGAGCAGAAACGCCGTTCCGCCCCGCTGCTCTCGCCGCTGCCCCCGCCGCCGCCGCCGCCGCCGCCGCCGCAGGAGCGGCACCAGCTTGAGCAGAACTCGCTCCTGCAGATGCCATATCTGCCGGCCCGTAAAAACCGCCGTAAGGTCCGCCGTAATTCACGGGCATGGGATACTGGGAGCAGGGACCCCCGAGCATTCCCATCGGGAGAGTACCGGGCGGCGCGGGGAGCTTGTCGCCGCGATGGGCGGCGCGCATTGCGGCGGAAGACACGGGGACGGGAACGGAGGCCTGCTTCTGCCACTTGGCGAGTTGCTTCGGGCACGCCGGCATGTGCGGCGGCAAATGCGGCGCTAAGTGCGGCGCGAAGAACGGAGACGGGTACGACGGCGGAAAGAACGGGCCCGGCATTGCAAGCGACGGGTCAAGTGGGAAGGATCGGGTATCGGAGGCGGAAAAGGGGGAGGCGGAAGCGGAGAAGGGGGAGATCCCCGCGGGGGGAGAAAAGGGAAAGGCTCCGGAGGAAGCGGGAAGGCAGCTTTCGGTTGCGCCTTCGCTTCCGGAATCCGCGCCACGCGCACCGCGCGCCGCAGCCTGCGGCGGAGAGGGAGTAGAGGTTAGGAAAATAAACTCGCACAAGGGCTGATATCGGGACGAGGGTCGGGGCGCTGTGCTTATCGCAATGCATAATGCAGCTTATGCAGGCTCAGGATCACGGCAGGTTCGGGACAGCCTCAGCCTCGGGATTACCTCAGGCTCGGGATTACCTCAGGCTCGGTTTTAACGCGAGCGGTCTTGACCCAGTGCGTGCCGCAGCTCTCGTCGCCCGACGACGAATCCGTCGCATCGGGGTCCGTCGCATTCGCATGTGTCGCTCGTCCGCGTTTGAAGCAGACCTGATACCGGAAAGCAGGGAGAGTGTAGAAACGTCGGAAAGCTGGACGACAGAAACCGAGCCGCAAAGATGACGATGCAATAAATCGCGGACCGCGGAGGAGAAATGTCTTCGCTGGACCAACTGATGAAACGGGGAGGTATAAAAGCCGAACGCGTTGTAGATTTTTTTTTTTCGGGAAGTGTCCCGTTTTTTCCGGGGGTATTTTCGTTAATACCTTGGGTTTCAGGTTATCCCAGTTATCTCCATCGGAAGAGCAGAGAGAAGCGAACTGGCCCGGGCCAATGGAGGGATTACTAGGGGGGATCAATGCTGCACCCTGGCCGCCCGGCATCGCGCGAAGCTGACTCGCGTTGAAAGCCAGGGGTGCCAGCATAAAAAGGAGAGAATCTAAAGCTACAACCGCAGCAGATGCTTTTCTGGTCTTCGTGATATACGGGAAATAATATGATCACCGAGCAGGCGACGGGGGGAGACGTGCGTTCTTTAGGAAATCGGCGAGAGATTGCTCACGTGAACAAGGAAACTAGATAGCTAGAACACCGATGCAGGTTACCAACAGCCAGGGAGGAGTTATTGAGGGTTTGGCTTGTGTGACTTGGAAAAGTGAAGGAGATGCAGGGCGGAGCATGGCGGAGCGGATTAGCGGGCGAAGGCGGGTGATCAGAAAAGGAGATCAGGGGGGAAGGAATATACTGCTCTATTCTGTACTGTACTGTTTTGGTTGGGGGGAGGTGGCCGAGGCGGGTACGGGTCATGGCGGGGCGGGTACGGGTCATGGCGGGTACGGGTCATGGGAGGGGGACAAAGGCGGAAGGGGGAGTTTGGAAGTTTGGCGCAGTGTGATATTTGTTCCGCGTTTCTGTTGCATCTGGCGGGGCTGTAGTGAAAGTGGATCTGCATTGCTGCCGTGCCGTGCTGAGCTAACACGCGCGGAGACCGAGGGGAGGAGTTGGCGGGAAGTGCGGAAATGATCATGGTGCGGGGAATGGTCGGGGGAAAGAATTGTGAGTGAACGACGTGATCGAGATACATTCCCGTGATCGCGGGGGCGGGATGGGAAAACCCCAGTTGATGCGCTGGAAAGAGTCATGATCGGAGTCACCTAACCACCGTGACTGCAGGTTTGATCGACTTTTCAATCGGCAGGGCAGAAAAAGGACTCCGTTGCGATCAGGCGTTTGTTAAAGTCGCCATAAAAGTAATGCACGCGGTTCGAACGATGTCAGGGCCTAGCATACGAAGTAATCCGAGACATTTTGGGACAGGGGAATCCTTAAGAGGTAGATGTGCTGCATGTAGTTGTGCAAGGATAGTTGAGATACACCCAGTTCCGTTCGAGAAATTCGCTTACATACCCAGATTTTTTGACAGTTTTGTTCAGCTAAGTATGTACGCAAGAATTGGGAATGGCGGGGAAGCTTGCAGTGATGCTCTGCTAGCGCGTGCGTTCGAGACTACACATGTGAAACTTCTGGAAAATCTATCTGACAACGAATCAGCCTAGCAGTTTGCCGCCCAATACCCAACCGACTCCGCCGGGAAATTGGGTTCACGCACCCCACACGCACAAACCCCAAACAAGTCCGACCCAAAACGAACTGTCGGAGCACTTTGTACAATACACGTCAGCATGCTGCCGTGGCCATTCCAGCTGATTTGGAAGCTGATGTAGGCAGCTTGAAATACTCAGCCAAGCACGTGGTCTCCAAGCCAACAGCAATGGTTTCCAGCACGTGAGAAGCATACCACGTGGTTTCCAGCAGCAAATTGCAACCTTATCCGACCCATAGTTACGGAATACACCTGATGCCTGTTTGAGCCCCTCCCGGTTGCCTTACGAAGGGGGCGTATAAGCTGTCACGAGCATTTCGCATAAGTTTCGGCAATTCGCAGCTAGCTAAAAATGATTCGCATGTGCTTATAAACAAGATCTGTAACCTAGTTTGACTTCAGTCTCCTCTGCTTGACTTCGGTCTGTACCTAGTTTGACGTCGGTCTGTTCGTTACTACTGGTTGATAACCACGCGACGCGCTTGTAATGTAGGTGCATGAAGCTGGGGAAACAACCTCGGGTGCAGCGTATTCATCTGGCGCAAGGCAAATTCGCGTGCATGGGGTGAGCATCAGCTGTAATCTCTGCGCGTGCGCCAAACGAGCAGTGCAGCAGCTTCGCCAATATCGGTGAGGTTTGGCGTCATTTGTGTTGTGGGGGTGGGAGAATCTGTGGAACCACTCGATACCGAACAAAGTCAATCTACAAGGCGATGCTAGTGATGTACATATCAGTTAGTGTTACTGTGTAGTTATACCAGTAATAAATCCTCTCATAAGAGGCGTATTAAAAGCAGGTATAGCAAATGCGGTATAAGGACAATCTAGGCACAAACAAGCATGCGCATGAACAGCAGCCCATCAAGCATCCAGAAACACATCTCGAATAAACCTGGCAGTCACTCGGGACGACAGCCGGCTCGCTACTTCAGGAACAATCTGCACGGCAACGCTGGGAAGCAGAGAACCCAGCTCCTGAGACAGCGCCACTGCAGCCATCTGGTCCCTTAGCACTGACAACAATGGCCCTTGCTGAGACTGCTGCTGGGGGTTCACTCTCCCATCCACAGCCCACATCGCTTCATCCTCCGTGGTATAACCACTGCTGCTGTCGCTGCTGTTATCACTTCCACGGCTTAGGAAAGCCACAACCTTTCTCAGATTCTCCAGCACCGCCCGATCCTCGTCCGTAACTCGTGGGGTAACCGCATGCACCAGCTCCTGCACCTGCTGCTGCCCGGGCAGCGGCGGCAGCAGCATGAGCAGCGGCAGCGCTCCTGCCAAGGGCGTGTTCCTTATCACAGCGGTCGCGCTCGGCGACGTGGGGTTCGATAAGACGTTCAGCAGCGACGCGATCTGTTCCCGTGCCAGCGCGTCCACTCCCTTCACCACCTCGTCGAGAATAAAATCTCGGAAGAAGGCGCCGCGGGGCGAGAGGATGAAGGCGAGTGCCGCCCGAGCGTTGCCTGTATTGCTGAGCTCAGCTTCTGACAGCTGGAGGGAAGCTTCCGGGAAGACGAGGGTGGTGGTGGGGAAGAGAGTTTCGAAAGGGGAGGAAGGGAGGAAGGAGGGAGGGAAGAGAAGGGAGGGCTGGGAGGAGGAGGAGGAGGAAGGGAGGCCAGTGCTTGTTGAACCTGCACCGTTAGAAGCACTCCCGTTTACAGTCACAGTCGCAACTCCATTGACATCACCAGTAGCACCATCTGTAGAAATTACCTCCACCACTTCCCCTTCCCCACCCGCGTCCGCCCCCCAGTCCGCGAATTGCGCGCCCCGCCCTGACTTGGCATTCGCCGCAAACGTCTCAAAGGCCTCCATGACGTCTATAAAGCGGTCCGCGTCGAACACGCCGGAGCGCCCATAAATGGTGTATCTTAACGCTTCGCGCAGGCGCGGAGACGGGTCAGTTAGAAGCCGCTGCGCGATGTACGGATAGGCCGCGTCGACTATAGCGAAGTCCGGGTCGCCCACTAACGCGATCCCCTCGAGGACGCCTATAGCGCGGATGATCAGCGCGAAGTACGGCGGGATGCGGAACGGGTACTCGAACGTGATCTGCGCGAGATCCGCTGCGAGCTCCTGGAAATTAATCCCCTTGGCGCCGCCGCCCTCCAACGCCTGGTCGAAAACGCGCGCGAGAACCGGCATGATCGGGTTCAGATTCACGCCCTCGGGGATAAAATCTAGGAGGACGAAATCTTCGACGATCGCGGGGTAATCGCGGTGGATGAGATGCGCGATCGCCTCGATCATGCCGTACTTCTGCGTGTCGGTGATTCGCGTCATCAGGCCGAAATCGAGCACGCATAGCTTCCCGTCTGGCGTTCGAATTAGGTTTCCGGGATGCGGATCGGCGTGGAAAAGACCTGTGTCTAATAACTGCTTCAAGTAGCAAATAACCCCCACGTTGACGAGCGAACCCACGTCGTCTGCCGTGCTCTGCGAAAGCTTCTCGCCTTCGATCCATTGGGTTACCAGCACTCGGCGAGAGGTGTATTCCATGAAGGGCTTCGGAACCACGACCTGCGGTAGGTCCTTCGCCATCGATTCGGCGAAAAGCTCCGCGTTGCGAGCTTCGTTGACGTAATCCAGCTCCTCGAAAAATCGCGCGGCCCACTCGTCGACCAATCCCACCACGTCCGTCGCAATCTGGGGAATGCCGCGGAGAGCCAGCCCTAGCCGTCGGATAATGTACAAATCAATCGTGACCGTCTCCAAAACATAAGGCCGCTGAACTTTCACCGCCACGGCTTCCCCAGTAGATTTGAGTTTACCCTTGTAAACCTGCCCGAGTGACGCTGCTGCAATCGGTGCCGGGCTAAGTTCCGAAAACACCTCGGACGGGGGCAAACCAAGCTCATCCTCCATAAGAACCATCGCGATATCGTTATCGAACGACGGAACTTTATCGCACAATTTCTGTAGCTCCACCATCGCGGCGGGCGACAGGATATCGGGCCGGATGCTAAGCGCCTGTCCGAGCTTGATATACGCCGGACCTAAGGACGTCACTATTTCTCTCAACTCCATCGCGCGTTTCACCTCGTTCTCCTTCAGCTTCTTCGTGACTATATCCGCCGCGACCTTCGTTAAGAAATCCCCCGATACAGCGAGAAGCTGCACGATTCGGCTGAAGATCGCGCCGGGCCGCTTCTGCCAGTAAGTTGCTATTAAATCCGGGTCGTACACCAGCGGAAGCGCCTCCTCGCCGCCTTTCCCGGTGTCGAACTCCACGAGCCGCATCGTGACGTCAGCATCGGCGAACTGCTCGTCCCGGAGGTTCTGCCCGCGCAATCCCCGCATGAGCGACGCGACCTGACAGAGCCGGGGTGGGCGGGGAAAAGGGGACGCAGGGGAAGGGGAGGGGGGAGGCGGGGATGAAGGAAAAGGGAGGCAGGAAGGAAGACGGAGAAAGAAGGGAATGAGAGCCCTAGAATTATTAGGGAAAGCAGAGAAAGCAGGAAAGAACATACGAGGAGGAGAGGGAGGAGGGGGGGGAGGGAGGGCAGGGGCGGGGAGGGAGGGAGGGAGGGGAGGGGAGAGGGAACGGGGAGGTTGGGGGGAGGGAGAAAGGAGGTCGTGACAAAATGGTGAGGGTAGGAGGAAAGAACGAACGGGGAGGTTGGGGAGGGAAAGAGGGTAAACGGGGAAGAAAACGGGGAGAGTGCACGGGGGAGCAGCGCGGTACCTGCTCGTCCTCCTCCATCTGCGCGCGGATGCGCTTCATGTCCGCCGCCATCTCCCCCACGCGCAGCTTCCGCGGACCCCCCGCGGATCCTTCCGCTGCGCCATTCGCGCTGTATGCGTCTCCGCTGCCTGTTCTGGACCTATCAGTGACTGCCGCGCGGCACGGAGCGGGCTGACGTGGATAAGGCGTCCGGATGAGATTAGCACTTTTAGTATTTAATCGACGGGGAGAGAAAAAGGAGGAGGAGGGGGGTAAGGGAGCAGATCGCGGCGCGGTTTCGCGTGACCGACCGCCTTTAGCCGGGCTAGGGTAACCGTTGGATTTCGAGTTCGCAGAAATATTTCGTGGGCTATGAATGCGGGATACGGCGAATGGTATTCTAAACGGGGACGCCACTAGCGAGGCTGCTGATTGAACTGACGCCATAGCGTCCAACGCGATGACGACGGCGCGCTTAGCACCCAACAGCTTGGCAGCGATGCAAGGGAGAGTCGTCGCAGACGGGCTTTGCGACGATTCAACGCGTTGCAGCAACTGGTTACCCTGCACTTGGGGGAGTCGTGAAAGCCGCGAGCAGCGGAGCAAGGTGCCCCAAGCCGAGGCTTGCGGCTGAACACTTAACTACCGAGGTAATTCGACGGCTGGAGCAGACTGAACAGCAAATCGCTGTGTGTTTGTGTTTGTGCACAGTGCCGTACTGTGCGACTGTGCGTGAAGGCAGAAGCAACACAACGCAACATAGGGAACGAACGGCCTGCGTGGGTCGGGTCGGTGGTGTCGTGTCATCTCGTGTCGTGTCCGCCCGTCGACCCCTGATCCTTGGGTTTCGTTCCGTCTGTTCCTTCTCCGTGTGACACGCAGCTCGCCAGGTGGCACCAGCGATTGCAACAGAAACCTCGAACGTGTGGCTGAGATCGACTGCGTAACAACATGGAAACTCATCGTTTTTTAATTACCGAACGGGTGCAAGCAACGGGGATGTAGCTCAGATGGTAGAGCGCTCGCTTAGCATGCGAGAGGTATGGGGATCGATACCCCACTTCTCCATACTTACTCCTCTTTTGTGTGACCCCTAAAACATCAAGGTGTGGGGAACCATGTGGGCAGGATTCAGTTCATTCATACAATTGAGGTGCATTGTCCTGGCTGGGTGTGTGATACATGTCAATCTGCTGTAGTTTTATCCACTAAATACGGCAATAAAAAATGTACGGTACATACTCCTATCCGAGCTAATCCAAGAGATATACACTAGAAAAACTACCCACTGTTGACACGGCTCTTATCAGCGCATACCTGTCTATCGCTTTGGCGGCATGGTCTGGGACTTCTTCAACATGGCAGCCAGGCCTCTTCGCTTGGCGTACGGACTAAGCTCGACCCCCCATGCCATGTGCAGGGATAAAAACAGCATGGCTCTTCATTGGGACAACCCAGCTACCGCTTTGAAGGCATGGTCTGTGACTTCTTGAACATGCCAGCCAGGCCTCTTCTCTTGGTGGACTCAGGACTCAGCTCTACCCCCCCAGGACTGCCCATGCCATGTGCTGGGCTCGCACCCCCATACCCATGCCTGTGTAGTCCTGCATGACCATCCCCCACCCCATGCGCATGTGGTGACCCTCGGGAATTTCTGACTACCATCGGTGACCCCTGCTCACTGCCGGCCCCTCTCCAAGGGCTCATCCCTTCCCCACCACCACCACCAGCACCACCAGCAGCAGCAGCATGCATTGGACTGTTCATCCCGCTACGATGCATGGGGCTTCCCCCCTGGCTGGAATGAAAAGGTGACATGGCACCCACTCCCAAGCCTCCATATCCCCTCGGGGAAAGAGGGCCTGCGTTTTGCACGTGGGAACTCTGGTTACGCATGCGGTTACCATAACCACCAGGAGCATCAACCTCCCCAACATCACCCCCACCAACGCTGCCTCCACGACTGCTGCCCCCATGGCTCCCCCCCTTTAACTTCCGCCTAAACGTCTTCCTGAGCCCGTGAGTGATTGCTAGGTTCCCCAGAACCGCCCCTGCAAACGACTGCGATTTGCTACTGCTGCTGCCGCCGCCGCCGCTGCCATTCCCTGCTCCCCCGCTTCCCCCACTGCCGCCATGAGTGCTGCCACTGCTGCTGCTACCCCGTGGCGACCTAGCAAAGCCAATCGGCATGCAGGAAACCCGGGGAGCCATGAGAGGAGATGCGTTCTGCATCACCCCCGCCTCCTCATTCTCCTCCGCTTCCTCCCCCCTGCGCCCGTTCCCAGCCACAGCCGCAGCAGCAGCAACCGCTGCAGCAACAGCAGCAGCAGAGCCGCCAGCAGCAGCAAGCATAGCCGGGTTGGCTAGAGCACCAGCTGCCAGCGCAGCAGCAGGGGCGTGGTTAGGCAGGTTTGTTCTCGACGTGGGCTTTAAGGGAGGAGAGGATGGTTCTGTTGCAGCCGACTTTGCCGATCTCATACTCATGCACGATGCTCTGGCTCCTGCCCTGCTCTTTACCCGGTTGAACCTAGATAGTCTGTCTCCCTCCCCACTTGCTCCCCATGCCTCGTCATCCCCTGCAGCCTCCACTCCGTCCTCTGCTGCTGCTGAAGCATCCTTTGCTGCAGCATGGTGTGAGTCAGGAGCATCTGGGTAGAGGTAGAACAGAGGCTTGCTGCGCTGTGAACTGCTTCTTGGCACCTTGCTACCGTTGCTGCTACTGCTTCTTACCACAATACCACCACCCGTACCTTGCTCCTCGCCTTTCCCAGCATTCATCCCATCCATGCGACTGAATTCATCTGCAGAGGGAGTAGGTGCACCTGGTAAGCACCCACTTCCACCACCACCCTCCCCACCCCCACTAGCATCATCAGTATCCTCTTCTGTTGCAGCAGCATCAGGGACCCACTTTTGCAGGCTCAGCCCCGCACTCATTTCCGAACCCCGCTCCTCCTCCTCTTCCTCCCTGTCCCCCCTCCTCCTCCCCTTCCGTCCCCTCCTCCCCTTCCTCTCTCTCACATCGTCTGGACTTCCAAACACCTCCACTACGGAAATTACCTCTTTCTCCTCCCTCTCCTCCCCCTCCTCACTCTCCTCACACTCCTTCCTCCCCCCTCTCTTCCCCCTTCCAGCCCTCCCACACGAAGACAAAAGCACCTCTGAGGGCGAAGACCCATCAAGGTGGTTACCACTGGCAGTTGTAACCAGATACAGCGCTTCGTCTGCAGGTGCTGGCACTATAGCGAGCTGAGTACTCTCCTCCTCAATAGTGCCACCACTCGTTAGCATCACCTCTCCCTGCTCTGCTGCTGCGGGCACCAAAGCTAATTCCTCCTCCTTCTGTTGCCCATCCAAAAGCGCTACTTGCATCGCCTCATCACCACCACCACTACCCTCTCCATGCTCACCACCACCTTCACCACCCTCTCCCTCCTCACCACCACCACTACCCTCTCCATGCTCACCACCACCTTCACCACCCTCTCCCTCCTCACCACCACCACTACCCTCTCCATGCTCACCACCACCTTCACCACCCTCTCCCTCCTCACCACCCTCCTCGCCCTTCTCACCCTCCTCCGCCCCATCCGGCCCCTCTAGAGGCCCAGACACAGGAGAGTGAGTGTGAGAGGAGGAGAGGTGAGACACAGTGTAGCGGTAGGGCGAGGCAGAGGGGGAACTCGCACCTGACAAACCCATATCCGACCCCATGCCAACCCCATCATCACCATCAGCAGCATCATCAGCAGCACCATCAGCAGCAGCACCAGCAACAGTAGCAGCAGCACCACCAGCACCAGTAGCGGCACCACCCAGGGGCATCCCAGCCATGCCTGGGGCGTCCATGAGCAACAGGAGATGCTCCAGCTGCGGGTACTTTGCTGCCAGCTCCCCCAGTAGCTCCTCTGATGGCAGTGCCAGGAATGTAGCTGATTCAAGCAGGCCAAGCAGGGATTGCAGCTGTGCCTGCGACAGGGATGGGGGAATGGGGATGCAGGGAAGGGGGAGAACAAGGGACGGAAGCATGGGATTAGGTGGTGTCACTGGTGTATGGGCTTATGGGCATCCCAGCTATGCATTGGGCATCCATAAGCAACAACAGGTGCTCCAGCTGCGGGTACTTGGCCGCCAGCTCCCCCAACAGCTCTTCTGATGGCAGTGCCAGGAAAGTGGCCGCTCTGAGGACGCTTCAGCAGCGACTGGAGATGCACCTGGTGAGGATGGGAGGGGGGATGTAAGAGGGGGCACGGGGGAGGGATGGGATAAGCTGCGGGTACTGGGTCGCCAGCTCCCCCAGCAACTCCTCTGATGGCAGTGCAAGGAATGTGGCCGCACTGAGAAGCTTCAGCAGCGACTGGAGTTGCGCCTGAGGGGGGATGGAGATTCAGGGATGGGGGAGGATGGGAGACGGACGGGGGAGGGACGGGGAATCAGTGGTGTCATTGGTGTGGGGTCGAGGGTTGGTGGAGGGATGGAGAGAGACGGAATGTGTTTGGGGTGATTGGGTGGCGAAGGTGGGAATGTGCTGAGAAGGTTTAGCAGGGGCCTAGCACATGTAAGAAAGTTTCAAGCTAGCTGCAACACATGTTGTGAGACGTCTTACACACAACCACACACACGCCTGATACGCACGCGCAAGCTTGACACGTGCACCCCTCACACACACACACACACTCGCACCCCCACACTCGTCACACACAAGTCTCACAAACATACACACTCCTCATACACTCACCTCCACCCTCTCAGCCTGCTCCGCCTCCATGGCTGCCTGCTGCTCTGCCGCTACTCGCCTCGCACTCACCCCCCCATGCATACACTCACATACATGCACCCCCCTCCCCCCATGCACCCATGCACTCACACACCCTTATCACCGTCACCCTCTCAGCCTGCTCCGCCTCCATGGCTGCCTGCTGCTCTGCTGCCACCCATCCCGCACTCATCCCCCCATGCACTCACACACATGCACCCCCCTCCCCCCATGCACTCACACACATGCACCCCCCTTCCCCCATGCACTCACACACATGCACCCCCCTTTCCCCCATGCACTCACACACATGCACCCCCCTTCCCCCATGCACTCACACACATGCACCCCCCTTCCCCCATGCACTCACACACATACACCCCCCTTCCCCCATGCACTCACACACATGCACCCCCCTTCCCCCATGCACTCACACACATGCACCCCCCTTCCCCCATGCACTCACACACATGCACCCCCCTTCCCCCATGCACTCACACACATGCACCCCCCTCCCCCATGCACTCACACACATGCACCCCCCTTCCCCCATGCACTCACACACATGCACCCCCCTTCCCCCATGCACTCACACACATGCACCCCCCTTCCCCCATGCACTCACACACATGCACCCCCCTTCCCCCATGCACTCACACACATGCACCCCCCTTCCCCCATGCACTCACACACATGCACCCCCCTTCCCCCATGCACTCACACACATGCACCCCCCTTCCCCCATGCACTCACACACATGCACCCCCCTTCCCCCATGCACTCACACACATGCACCCCCCTTCCCCCATGCACTCACACACATGCACCCCCCTTCCCCCATGCACTCACACACATGCACCCCCCTTCCCCCATGCACTCACACACATGCACCCCCCTTCCCCCATGCACTCACACACATGCACCCCCCTTCCCCCATGCACTCACACACATGCACCCCCCTCCCCCCATGCACTCACACACATGCACCCCCCTTCCCCCATGCACTCACACACATGCACCCCCCTTCCCCCATGCACTCACACACATGCACCCCCCTTCCCCCATGCACTCACACACATGCACCCCCCTTCCCCCATGCACTCACACACATGCACCCCCCTCCCCCCATGCACTCACCGTCACCCTCTCAGCCTGCTCCGCCTCCATGGCTGCCTGCTGCTCTGCCGCTACTCGCCTCTCCATCACCTCCCCCACCTCCTCCTCCTTCGCCCTTATCTCGCGCCTCTGCTCCTCTATCTCCTCCTCCTTTGCCTCCAACTCCTGCTTCAATCTCTCCATCTCCTCCCCCCTCGCCTGTAACCTCCGTCTCACCTCCCCAACCTCCTCCTCCCTCACTGCCACCTCTCGCCTCTGCTCCTCTAGCTCCTCTCTCAACCCCTCCACCCTCATCTCTGCTTCCTCCACCTTCCCCTCCATTTCCCTTTCCCTCCTCCCCATCTCCTCCCTCCTCCTCTCCACCTCCTCCTTCTCCCTCTCAGCCTCCTCGGCCACCCCTCTCAGTGCCTCTCTCTCTCCCTCCACCGCTTCCAACCGCTCTCTCACCCTCTCCATCTCCTTCTCCACCTCCACTCTCCTCCTCTCTGCCTCCTCCTCTCTCCCCTTCCCAATCTTCACCTCACTCAAAACTCTTTCCATCTCCTTAACCATCTCACTCATCTTCTCTCTCCCCTCCTCCACTTCCCTCTCTAGCACCTCTCTCCCCTTCTCACCCCACTCAGCCTTCGCCCGAACCTCCTCCAGCTCCCCCCGAGCCTCCTCCGACTGCCTCCGAGCCTGCTCCGCCTCTTCCCGAGCCTCCTGCAGGCTGCGCCGAGCCTGCACCAGCTGCAGCCGAGCCTCTTCCGCGTTTCTCTGAGCCTCTCCTGCCCTCTTCTCCAGTGCCTCAATCTCCTTCTTGACCTCCTTCATATCCTGCTCGTGTGCTGCTGTGAGGGCTTTTCTGACTTCTTCCACCCACACCCTCTCATCCTCATCCTCCCCACTGCTGCTCTTTCTTCCCTCATCTCCACCCTTTTCCTCCTCTCCCTCCCCTCCCTCCGCTCCCTCCTCACCCCTTGCTTCATTCTCCTGGCCTGCCGAGCCTGCACCAGCTGAACTGTCTCCTGTGAGCCCAAGCCTGCGCCGAACCTCTTCCAGCACCCAAACCAGTCTTTCGTGGCTCGATACAGCCCCCACGTTTCTCCCACCTGCCTCTCTCCCTCCTCCTCCGCCTCCTCCCCCTCCTCCCCGGACATACCCTTCCGTCCTTCCTCTCCCCCTCCCCACTCTATCCCCAACTCCTTTGCAAGCTCCCCCACACTCCCATGCAACAACCTCACTTCCTCCCTCACTCTCTCCCCCTCCCCCTCCTTCCTCCTCCTCCTCCTCCTCTTCCTCTTCCTCCTCGTCCTCACTCCACCTCCATCCCGCCGAACCAGTCCCTCTCACCCGAGCCTCCGCGCCTTCGGCTCGGGCCCGCCGAACCTCAGCCTCGGCTTCATCCACCCTCTTTTTAGCCACACCGGTTACAGCCTCAGCAGCAGCAAGGTCCGCCTTCAGCCTTGCCACCTCTAATTCCAGCTCGATAGACTTTGCTTCTTCCTCTTTAAGAGCATCCTCAGCACTGGATAATCGCTGCGACAGCACATGCACATCTTGTCTAAACACCTGCAGATCTTCCCTCGCTTCTTTCGCCGCTGCTACTGCTTCCGCTGCTCTCCCTGCTTCTGCTGCCGCTTGCTCCTTCAATATACTCACCTCCGCCTGCAGCTTAGTCACTTCAACCTCAGCAGTCAACCGCCCCACCTCCACATCCCTCTCCCCTCTCCCTCTCTCCACAGCCAACGCAGCTTCAGCGCTCTTCGCCCTCACTCTCTCCTCCTCCACCCTCCTCCTCAGCCCCTCACACTCCTCCTGCACCTGTTCCAATCTTGCTTCTAACACCGCCCGTTTCACCCCTTCAGCTGCCGCTGCTTCCCGTAACGAATCCATCTGCTTCTCCCACCCAGCCTGAGCTTCGGCAAGGTTTCCCGAGTCTGATTCGGCTCGGGCCGTGGCTGCTGCTGCCTGCACCTTCAGTTCCCAAGCCAGAGCTTCGGCCTCCTCCGCCCGAACCACAGCCTGCCGAGCCTCCTCCTCAGCTCCGTCGGCCCGCTGCCTCTCCGCCTCGGCCCGGACCTCCACCTCCTCCGCCCGCTCCGCCTCCCTCCAAGCCTTCGCCTCAGCTTCGGCAACCCTCTCCCTCAGCCTCGCCACCTCGGCCGCATCCACCCCTCCCCTCCCTCCCTCCCCCGCCGAACCACCCTCCTCGGCTCGGCGCCGGAGCAGCGCAGCCTCGGACCGTTCCTGATCCAGCGCCGTAATCGCCGCGGCCATTTCCCGCCTCAACCTCACACAAGTCCCCTCAGCATCAGCCGCTTTTTGCTCTTGCACTGACAACGCCTGCTGAGCCTCAGCCAATCCCTGCCTCAGCTTCCCGTTACTCGACTCCAGCCAATCAACACGCTGCTGCAGCTGCTGTAGCTCGTCATCATTGTGGGCGGCGGAGGCGGCGGAGGAGGCGCGGGCGAGTTCGGACTGTAGCAGGCTGATCTGCTGCCGCAGCCGCCGGACCTCCTCTGCGTCGATTTCTCCCAGCCGGTTGACGGTGGGCTTGTTGCAGATGTTGCGCGCTCGGTTGGCGTACTTGAGGGTGTTGATTGTCTCGTCTATGTTGCTGTCTGATGGACTCACACACGCTGCTCAAAGTGCAGAGGGCAAACGTGCCCGCACAGGGACGCACAGAGAGGCATGGATGGACACACAAAAGGAGTGATTGAGTCAGGGCACACAGAGAGGGACAGAGGCTAGCAGGCGCCGGACCTCCTCTGCGTCGATTTCTCCGAGGCGGTTGACGGTGGGTTTGTTGCAGATGTTGCGCGCTCGGTTGGCATATTTGAGGGTGTATGTCTCGGTCCGAGAGAGACAAGGAGAGAGAAAAAGGGACAAAGGGGGAGATACATGCGTGTGCAGAGTCAGATACAGCGAGACCAGGTGAGTGTTGCTGGTCCCAATAACAAGCACTGGGCAGAGGGCAGACAGCATATGGTAGAGGGCAGATGGCTAACGGCAGAGGGGGCATACATGCATGTGAACCCACACTCCAATCGCTACACTCACCGATCATAACAGTCCTGCTGTTGCCGCCCAGCGAGTCCTGTAGCAGCCTTGTCAGCTTGCTGTCGCGGTACGGCACGTGTGTGGGCCCGGACGGCCACCCGCCCTTGCCCTCCCGCTTGCGCCGGTCGTCCTTATCCTTGCTGCTGAGGGCGCTGATGACATTCCCCAGTGCCAGTAGCCCACGATTGATGTGGATACCTGGGCGAGGGATGTAGGAAGGCGCAGTGGGGAGAAGGATGTGGGTGGGAAGATTATTACTTGCGCCGGTCGTCTTCATCCTTGCTGATGACATTCCCCAGTGCCAATAGCCCTCGGTTGATATGGATGCCTGTGAGGGGGATGGGCAGAGGCGCAATGAGGGTTAGTGGGGAAGTTTTACTTGACCTCGCTGCTGATGTTGCCCGGCATGCGTACTCTTGACCCAACATGCCCCCATACATCCCTCAGCTACAAATCTACCCCTCCTCCCGCCCTGTGCCCGCCCTGTTTCCCGCCTCTCACCTTCCTGCATGCACACGCCCTCAGCGTGCGTCCTCCCGATCCCCTCCGACCCAGCCAGGTCCGCACCTCGTCGCCCCTTGCCTCCACACACTCTCCTAAATCCCTCTGTCACCACACACCCACCCTCTCTCACCTTCCTGCATCCTGACCCCCTCAGCGTGCGTCCTCTTGATTCTCTCCGACCCAGCCAGGTCCACCAGATGCATCTTCGCGCACAGATGCTCCTCGCCCCTCACTTCACCGCACCCAGTTCCCCCCCATCCCCCCAATACGCCCCTCTACCACACGCCACCACACACCCCTCGCACACCCAGTTAGCCCCTTTGCTCCCCCACACCCCTCTGCACCGAACACCTTGCTCCATCCTCTCACCCTGGCCGATTTCTCACCTTCCTGCATCCTGACGCCCTCAGCGTGTGTCCTCTTGATGCTCCTCGTCCCCATGCTGCTGCTGCCACCCGACCCAGGTCACCTCTTGACCCCATTCCACCCCTTCTCCACACACGGACATACCCCTCTTTCACACACCTGGGGACCTCTTTTACAACCACAATGCACCCGTTTACTGCACACTGGCTCACCTTCCTGCATGCGCACCCCCTCAGCGTGAGTCCTCTTGATTCGCTCCGACCCAGCCAGGTCCACCAGATGCATCTTGGCGCACAGATGCTCCTCGTCCGCGCGCCCCCTCCCCCCTCCCCCTCCCCGCGCGCCCATCCCCCCCCCTCGGGGGCGGAACTGGTCGATGAAAATGGTGAAGATGGCGTGGGAGCGACTGAATGGCAGGGTAAAGGGAGGGGGAAGAGGCAAGAGAAGAGAGAAAGGAAAAATGTGAAGCGGATTGCGCCCATCCCCCCACCTCAGGGGCGGAACTGGTCAATGAAGGTCGAGAAGATGGCGTGGGAGCGACTCTAGGATGGGGGAGGGGAGGAGGTAAGAGAAGCGAGTACGGGGAAAAGCGAATCAGAACAGAGCCAACCCGAACTGGTCTATAAACTCCGTGAAGATGGTGTGGCGTGAGAGCGGCTGCAGAGCGGGTAGGTAGGAAAGGGTGGGGTAGAGGAAAGGGAGAAGAGAGATGAGAGCGAGTGCATGTGGGCATGTCTATGAAAAAAAAGTGAAATGGCTTGCCCCCCAGAGCACGCCAGTTGCAAGCAATCGCCTTCTCTTCCTGTGAATCCACCACTTTCTCCTCCGTCACCCCCCTAGTAGTTCATGCCCCCCAGTTGAGTGCAAAGCAGCGCTCACCTGGACCGCATATTCAAGTTGTGCCCGCCAGTGGCTCGAAACAACAGCCCATCCTCAAGGCTAGTGCAAGGCTCACCTGGATCTCGCATTCAGGTTGTGACCCCCAGTGGCCCGGAACAGCAACCCGTCCTCAAGGCACGCAATGGCCTCCTCCAGCGAGTGCACCACCTGCTCCGTCACCCCCGCCAGTAGTTATGTAGGCCGTGGCTCCCCGTGACCCAGGCAAGCGCAAGGCTCACCTGGACCGTGCATTCAAGTTGTGCCCGCCAGTGGCGCGAAACAACAGCCCGTCCTCCATGCACGCAATGGCCTCCTCTCTCGAGTGCACCACCTGCTCCGTCACCCCCGCCAGGCTGATGATGCCGCCCAAACACACTCAACAAGGAAACCCCAAGAGCAAACCTCACCTGGACCGTGCATTCAGGTTGTGCCCCCCAGTGGCGCGAAACAACAGCCCGTCCTCAAGGCACGCGATCGCCTCCTCCCTTAAGTGCACCACCTGCTCCGTCACCCGCGCCAGGCTGATGCCCCATCCCCTCTCCAGTCAATTTCTGAGGTGCCTGAACTGGTCAAAGCGCTTTTTCTAGGCGCTTCAACAAGGGAACCGCCTAAGAGCGTGTCTCACCTGGACCGTGCATTCAAGTTGTGTCCTCCGGTCGCTCGAAACAACAGCCCGTCCTCAAGGCACGCAATGGCCTCCTCTCTTGAGTGCACCACCTGCTCCGTCACCCCCGCCAGGCTGATGCCGCCCGCCGTCCAGTCGATATTTTAGGCGCCTGAACTCATTGAAGCGTTGTTTTAGGCGCTTCAACCAGAGGAACCGCCTAAGAGCGTGTCTCACCTGGACCTCGCATTCAGGTTGTGCCCTCCAGTGGCGCGGAACAACAGCCCGTCCTCAAGGCACGCAATCGCCTCCTCTCTTGAGTGCACCACTTGCTCCGTCACCCCCGCCAGGCTGATGCCGCCCGCCGTCTCGCGGATGCTGATTGGCTGCCGGCTCGGCCCGGTGCTCATGATGGCCCGCGAGGCAGCAGAGTGCGGGTACATGCTCGCCCCTCCTCCTGCCCCTAGACTGGTCAATTCCAGCAGGTCTCGAATGTCGTCCTTGTGGATCTGACCGAGGGACAGTGGAGGGTGGGAGGAAAAGGGGTGGAAGGAAAAGCGGTGGTTACTCTCGGCCCGGTGCTCATGATGGCTCACGAGGCAGCAGAGTGAGGGTACATGCTCGCCCCCCCTCCTGCCCCTAGGCTCGTGAGCTCCAGGAGATCTCAAATGTCGTCCTTGTGGATCTGAGAGGGAGAGAGAGGAGGGTGGGAAGACAGGAGGGCAGCAAATTGGTGACTTGGCCCGGTGCTCATGATGGCCCGGGAGGCAGCAGAGTGCGGGTACATGCTCGCCCCTCCTCCTGCCCCAAGGCTCGTGAGTTGAGCAGGTCACGAATATCGTCCTTGTGGATCTGAAGAATAGAGGAGAGGGGAAGGTCGTAGGGTGGGATGCTGATTGGCTGCCGGCTCGGCCCGCTGCTCATGATGGCCCGCGAGGCAGCAGAGTGCGGGTACATGCTCGCCCCTCCCCCAGCGCCCAGACTTGTGAGCTCCAGCAGGTCTCGAATGTCGTCCTTGTGGATCTGAGAAAGGGAGAGAGGAGAGGGTGGGAGGAAAAGGGGTGGAAGGGGTGGTTACTCTCGGCCCGCTACTCATGATGGCTCGGGACGCAGCAGAGTGCAGGTACATGCTCGCCCCTCCCCCTGCCCCTAGGCTCGTGAGCTCCAGCAGGTCACGAATGTCATCCTTGTGGATCTGGTAGATAGGTGGGAAGGAAGGTTGGAAGGGTTGGGAGTGCACGGGGGTGGTTACTCGCGCCTCTCCCCCTCTCACCTCCACCCCTCTCAACCCCACCGCCACTCAACGCACCTCCACAATCCTCCCCCTCGCACCCGTTAAGCTCCTCTCACCAGTATAAGAAATGGTTTGGGATTTGCCTTCACAATCCCCTCTCGCCTCTATCAGCGCCTCTCACCTCAATAAGCGCCACTCGGATTTGGAAGCGCGCCAAGCCACTCAGCTGCAGTCCGCACCCCCTCCTCTTCGCCCTTTTCTCCCCCCTCTCTCACCTCGATGAGAGCCACTCGGATCTGGAAGCGCGCCAAGCCACTCAGCTGCTCCACGCGCGTGAACAGTGTGTCCACTACGCGCCGAGTCACACCGCCCTCCTTCTCCACGGCGGACGGCCCGCCGCCGTCCACGTCCCCGTACATGCCGCCCTGCACTGCCGTCCCCATGGTGTAGGTTTTCCCTGACCCGGTCTGGGTGGGGGGAGGGAGGTTGGGGGGAGTAAGGAGGGGCAGAGAGGAGAAGAGGGGAGAACAGGAAAAGGGAGAAAACGAGGAATGGGGTTCTAGTGAGAGGGGAAAAGGGGAATCGGTCACTCACGCTGCTATCGGTATTGCGATACATGCTGCTGTGCCCCGCTGTCCCCATAGTATATGTCTTCCCTGACCCCGTCTGCGGAGTGGGGAAGTAAGGCAGGATAGTGAGGGGAATGGGATTGTCATGGCATTGAAACCATGCACGTAGTGGTATTTACTGCTGTGCCTCGCTGTACCCCTCGAACAGCCCCAGCACGGTCGTTGAATCGACTCAAGAACCAGCGCATACCTTGTCCTTCTCCTCCTTTCACTCACCTACCCATTTGCGAACACCGTAGCGGCTCGATGCAGTCGCAAAACAAAAACGACACGGGGCGACCATCCATCTATCGCCCATGTCCAGTCCAGTCAAAACACACAGTTCCCTTGTCCTCCTTCCGAGGTGACTTTTGAGTCGGGACTCAAAAGTCACACGGGGCGACCATCCATCTGTCGCCCATGTCCAGTCCAAACACACACAGTTCCCTTGTCCTCCTCGTCCGCTCACCTGCCCATACGCGAAGACTGTAGCGTTGTACCCCTCGAACAGCCCCAGCACCAGCGGCTCGATGCAGTCGCCAAACAGATACGACATGGGGCGCCCACCGCCACCCCCGTACACATGGTCATAGGTAAACAGCCAATCAGGTAGCACCCGAACCTGCGATGGGGGAAAGGGATTGGCGGGGGGAAAGGGGGGAGAGAGGGGGTTTTGAGGCAAGGGACAAACGGACATGGGGCGACCACCGGCGCTTACACATGGTCGTACGTGAATAGCCAATCCGATAGCACGCGGACCTGCAATGAGGGGTCAAAACGGGGAGAATGGGGAATTGTGTAATGTGAAAAAAGGGGACATGGGGTGACAACCGGCGCCCCCGTACACATGGTCGTACGTGAATAGCCAATCCGATAGCACGCGGACCTGTGATGTCGGGGAAAGGATGGGGGAGGGGCGCAGAACGAAAGGATAGCGACAAGAAGGCATGGGTGGGTAGACCACCGTCCCCACTACACATATGCTGAACCACCCACTCAGGCCCTGGCTGTCGAGAACCAATTGACTTTCGAGTTGACTCAGAAGTCAAATCTGAGTCAGACTCAAAAGTCCACTCAGCCACTGCCTGTCGAAAACCAATTAGGCAGCACTCGAACAACAACACACATTTCTTTCCGTCTCTCACCATTCTCCACCGCTCTGCACCGAATTGTTCTGCATGCATATCCCTCACTGCCCATACACACCTGCGGCGCGCCTCCAGGGGGAACAGTGACGCACTCCATGCACCTCGTTGTAAGCTCCCTCGATATAAGCGGTCGAATGTTCACCGCTACAGTCACAGGCTGCGGTCCATGCGCTGCACCAATCAGCGCGCTGCTGCTGAACTCCGCCCCTCCGCTGATTCCGCTGCTTCCGCCGCCCGCGCTGAACCCCGCGCTGCCCCCCGCGCCGATTCCTTCCCCCGCTGCGCCATATCCTCCCCCTGCGCCGTACGCCCCCGCTTTCGCGTCGGGGATATACGCGTTCCTCCCTTCCGCGGAAAATCCTCCGCGGATCTCCGCTCCGCCTGCGCCGAATCCAAACCTCCCTTCCGCGCTTGCGCCTGCGCTTCCGCCAAACATCCTTGCCCTTCCTTCCCCGCTGCTTGCAACACTCCGCGTGCGCCTCTCCGCTCCGCCCGCGACTCCCGCGCCTCCCGCGCCTCCCGCACCTCCCCCGTCCAAACTCCCCCTCGCCCCGCGCGGCCGGGCCACCCATCCCATGGCCGGCCCGTCGTTCCTCGCCGGCGAAAGCGCCTCTTGTGGCCGGTAAGTCTCTTGCGGCCGGTAACTTTCCGGCCGGTAGTTTCCGGGAAGGCTCATTCTCCGCGGCTCTGGCGGCGCGAACCCAAACGTCCGTTCGCTCGGGGCGCGTACAAGCCCCCCGATAAAAGAACATCCATCAGTATCCGAACCGCCGTTTCTCCACGACGGAGCCGCCAAATCTCCAGACGCCCTGACGGACGACGTCGCCTCCACGGATCGACGGAAACCGTTAAGTTCTGACGGACGTCGGAAATCGGCAAATTCTGAGGGTTCCGGGGACGCGCTGCGTGCGGGCTTGGGCCGTGGCGTCCATCCGAACCGCTGAGGGCTAGCCTGGTTAATCATGGGACTAGCTTGGCTGATCATGGGGCTAGGTTGAATTGCTTGGGTGGTCTGGGTGAATTGGGTGATATGGGTAGGTTGGGGGATCGGAGCTTGGGCCGTGTGCGCGGTGTGGGCGGTGTGGGCGGTGTGGGAGGCGTGGCTGATGTGCGAAGGCTGTGCGATCTGGGAGCGTACGAATCGTTCCGGGGTGGCATCCCGGGATAGCAGGTGCAGCTGGGTACGTTCCGGATGTTCCGCCGCACTCTGCGGCTGTTTGCTGACCGTTACAACCGGCTTGTATTGAGTCGAATCAAAAACCGCCGCACTCTGCGGCTGCTTGGCGACCGTTACAAGCGGCTTCTCGGGAGCGTACGGCGTCAACAGCGAGCTGCTAGCCTTTTCCTGGACGCTCACCGTGGAACGCGGCGGGTTCCGCGGAGCATCGAAGAACAAAGCCGGCTCCGTTATTCCCGCGTGATCACTGCCCGTTATAAGCGGCTTCGTCGCCGTATCAGAGCAATCAGAATCCGGGAGCAACAGCTCCGTTGTGCTTTCCTCCTCCTGCGTGTCCGCTGCTGCATGTACCTTCCCTGCTCCCGACTTGTGCTCCGGGAAAAACCTCGCACTTATTCTGTCCTGCGCGTTCGCGTTAGCGTTAGCGTTATCGTTCGCGTTCGCGCCCGCACGTGGCTTCTCTGTTATCGGCTGCTGCTCCGTGCTCGCCACTGCGTGCGACTGCATGCGGCTTCTCTGCTCCGGGAAAAACTGCGCACTTATTCTGTCCTGCGCGTTCGCGTCCGCAAGCGGCTTCTCTGTTCTCGCCTGTTGCTCCGCACCGAACGTCTCTTGCTCGTGTTGCCTCGCAGCGATTCGAGCCGGCCTCTCCAGCCGCTCTTCACCTGTCGACTGGGCTTGCTTCTCCAGCGCCGCATTCTCCGGGATAGCTTGCTGCCGTTGCTTCTCCTGCTGCTGTGGCGGATACTCCTGCTCCTGCTTCTGCTCCTGCTTCTGCTCCTGCGTCTGCTCCTGCGTCTGCTCCTGCTTTTGCTCCTGCGTCTGCTCCTGCTGCTGCGTGCTCTCGGGCTCACGTATCAAAGTACTCTTCTGACGCCTTGCTTCCGTAGATGCTTCCGCTGCTTCCGCTACTTCCGCTACTTTCACTTTCTGCTGTACTGGTTGTGCCTCCACTGGCTTTTCTTCCGAGTGTTTCACGAGGTCTTCAGAAACAGTCTGCTGCGATCTCTTAACGTCGAGAGCCACGAAGGTCGTCTGTGGTGGCTTCTCCGAAGCTTCTTCCTTGACCTGCCGTGCCTGCTCCAGCAATTTATCTTCCATAGTTTCCACAAGTTCTTCTGGAGGAGTCCGCTGCTGCTGCGCCTGCTGCCGCAGGGGCTCCTGCTGCTGCTGCTGCTGCTGTTGCTTTTCCTGGTGCTGATGTTGCTGCTTCGGCTGCTTCTCGTCGCCAGTTTGAGAAGGTTGGTGGGAAGTCATCGCCACCTCTAAGGGAACCCCCAATACTTCTCGACCCGCAGGCGTCTCTTGAGCTGCTGGCGTTTCTTGAACCACCAGCTTCTCTCCACTTCCCATCTCTTCGCTCGTCATTACCTCGACTTGGACTTTTAATGGCTCTTCCTGCAATTTATCCTGCACCTCCTCCAGCACCTTCTCATGCACCTCCTCCTGCATCTTCTCCTCTACATTTTCCTGCATCTTCTCTATTTTATCCTGCATTTTCTCCTCTACCTTCCCCCTCATCTTCTCCTCTACCTTCTCCTGCACATTCTCCTGAGGCACGACGTCGACTGTCTCAGCTTTCAGACGCGCTTTTCTATCCTCGGTCACCATGTCGCTACCCTCGTTCAATAATCTTCTATCCGTCCCTCCATCATCGGAAACATCATTTCTTCCCTCGCTCACCGTACCCTTCTCTGTTCTTCGGTTATCCACCTGTGGGAATTCTACAGCCGGCGGCGCGGACAGCGCCGACGTCGCCTCCTGCGACTCGTCCGCGCGGTCGTCAGTGAGGTTGGAGAACAGACCCGACGAGTCTACTGATTCCGCAAACCCGTCCAGCCAAGCGACCTCCGACTCGCTCTCCCCCTGGTAAAACTGCTCCTGATTCCCCGCTTCCTCCAAGCTTTCGTACTGTTTTATGTTTTCCTTCTTTGCTCCTTTTCTCCCCCCTCCCTCCCTCTTATCACCCGCGGGTTCCTCGCTTCCAAGCGATGCTTCCGAATCTTCCGTTTGAATCAAGTCTAGTGTCTCGGGTTCAGAAACCGCATCTGCATAAATGGAACTTTTGGCTGGGGATTCATTCGGGCCCTGAACTGCGCTAGCAGGGGAGTCGGAATGTCTGTTAATAGCAATGAACTCGGATACTACAGTGTTTTCCCTCCTTAGACTAGACTCCGCGGTTGCTTCTGGAGAGGAGTGACTGGGAGTTTCGGATATAGAATCGGGACCCTCGTCTACCTCTCCCCACTCCATTGGCAACATAAGCGACTAAACTCGTAATCTACCGTTACCGATAACTATCACGTTATCTACGGGAAAACTACGCAGCTATCAACACAATTACGACTAGAAGAGAGCCTGCTTGATAAATGGTCCTGCCAGCTAACAGTGAAACTTTTTTTCCCGCAAAGTTCGGACTGCTGAGTGAGTCAGTCCCTACGCATCAACGAAGGGGTCTCTTTCTCTGGTCTGCTGGTTCTGGTCTGCCTGGGGAACGACGACATGTTTTGGGGTGTGTTGGATGCAGAGAGATGGATGGCATACTTCGGTGAAAATAGATTCCTGACGGACCAGAAACTGATCACGTTTCACGGATGGAGGAGTGCTTGGCTGATTCGAAAAGAATGCCACATGCTCGCATCAAGACGAAATTCGTTTGGCTCGGAGACCGAGATGGTGTATGTTGCTTCTGGATCGTCGATTTTAACGTGACGACGAGACCGATTCCGTCAAAACCAACGACGCGGTGCCCGTGAGCCCAATTCAAACCAGGACCGAGTGGGGGCTTTACAGGCTGGCGCCCGTGTGGAATGCACGAAGCGCACCAGACCTCCGTCCGTCTGTTTGGGAGGGGAGCGAAGCCGTTGACCATGCCAAAGCGGTCCAGAGTTCGAGTCGCGTACTCCTTCCCGCCCACATTTGAAAACCAACATCGAGGCTCCTTCAGGCGTTCTGTCAGGCTGAGCCAAAAGGTGTTGATGCGTCTACACCAACTCGAATGTTTTTCGTCACTAACAATAAACTGCAAAAACGGAACTTCCAGATACTTCTTTGCCTTCCAGCTTCCCTGGAGGGCTGACGAGGTTCCCCAGTCCCGAGGGGATCAATACCAGACCAGGGACGTGGCGCCACTAACAAAAACGATTGTTTATGGCGGAGATTGCGCGCCCGACAGTAGCACCCTTCAATATGGCAGTGCTGTAACTACACGTGGCATGTGTCGATGCTTGCCCATGGACTCGACACCTGGCACAGACAAGCCAGCGTGTCCGTCCTTTTTCTCGAGATCAAAGCAAAAGATGTTACACGTTTCGTCAGTTCGTGAATCACCGAAATTCCCGCTGCAGAGAGCCTTTTGCGAACCATTTTTTCCTCCGCGAACACGGAACTCCCAAGATTGTTGCTGATCCTTCTGCTCCACCTCTCCCTTGCATGAATGTGCACACACCGATGTCTTTTCCCCTGTCATGTCAAGCACCTAGCACCCCTTTTCCCAAATCCTTAGCCAAATTCCGTTAGTGCTAATCAGTCCTCAGCTCACCCTAACTTGCATGCACCTGAGTGCTTAGGCAAGGTCGGTCATTTCGGGTGATTGGAAGACATTTATTGACGGTGTTTCCTCATTGTGCAGATGGTGTTATCGCGCATAATCTCGAAAATGGAGACTCCCGGCTTGTCTCTTCCCAGATGCCATTCATCCACACCCAGACTACGAAACTCTGTAGTGTGCCTGAGAACGAGTGTTCCAGCATTCTCCTTCTCCCTACAACCAGAAACTAAGACTGCGTTGCAACGCTTCAAGGTGCATCTGGTATGTCGCCGGTCAGCTGGTAACCATCGTTCATTAACTAGCCGCACATTGTGTAAGCTGACTGAAACTTTCCTTTTTTATCTCGGTGTGTTCCTTGTATTGTAGGCAAGAGATCAGATTTGCTACCAGAGAATACCAGCAGGTATGCTGACTCAGCACCGTTCCTTACCTCCAGCTTGCTTCCGCTTCCATCCCTCCTCTGCTCGATTCTTATTCCATTCTTCCTGATTCATTCTATCGTCAACTCATTCTCCCCTGGTTGCAGTTGCTGTAGCTGCAACTGCGGAAAGTGCAGCGGATTCGGCTAAGGGAGTGAAGGTGCAGATCACGCTGGTCAGGGAATGCGGGTTCGGTCAGGCCTTCGGAGTGGTGGGGGGATCGCCGGAACTCGGTCAATGGGAACCGAGCAGAGCGCTTCAGATGGAATGGTCGCCTGGCCACGTCTGGTCGGCGCAAACTGTGAGTTCTTCTCTCCGAGAGCACCCTGTTCGCCCATCCTTAGCATCTCACAGCGATTTATTCCCGTCAATAATCTTGAATCATAATGAACTGGAGATGAACCTACGAAAATTATCGTTCGAAAGAGTCACCCGTCCAACCAGATTGCATCCAATCTAATCGCCAATTTTCCCCTTATATTCGTCAGGTTTTACCTGCGGGGTCACGGATCGAGTTCAAGATCATCATGGTGACAGAAAATGGAGATATCGTGTGGCAACCAGGCCCGAATAAGACTGCCGTGGTCTCTAACGGCAAGGGGAAGCAGCTTCTGCAGCTCCCCTGGGACAACGAGGAGCTTCCTCCTCTTCCGCGGACGGCGGACGCTGGCGCAGTGAAAACAGCCGCAACAGCGCTTGCGCCGGAGTTTCAAGAGGCGGAGCTTGCGAGCGATAATTCAACAGCGAAGGTATGGTACCAGTGTCTGTGTTCTTGTTGTCAAGGGTATTTGGTTGTGGGATACGAAGCTCAGTTGAGGCCGAAGAAGAGGAAGAACGCCAGAGGTCAGAGGAATGCCGAGAGAAGAACGTTGAAGGTCGAATCGAGTGTTGATCCACTGTCGCTACAGCCTTACGACTGAGTTTCCTTTAGAATTCTCAGATTTGACATCCCGTCCAGTCTTGGTACTGTCACCTACGACGGCCTAAGACCGAGCGACCCACTGTCACCAACGGCTTGCAGGGAGCGGACGAGGCGAAGGCGGTTGACGGAAATGAGCCGGCGGAGGAGGCGGTTGTAGCATCCGCGGCACAGACCCAGGGAGAGAGTGCCGAGCAGGCGGAGGAGGAGGCCGAGAAGGAAGCCAGGGAGGAGGAGGAGGCAGTCGTGTCTGTGGAGGAGACGCGTGCTGAGGCTTCCCCTCCAGAACCAGACGCGATTGAGGTGAGGCGTTGGCCATTGCGCGTGCCTTAAAGCGTGCCTTTAGGCGTTCCTTGGAGCGTGTCTTTAGTGATGGTGGACGGGCGAAGGTGAGTGGCGAGACAGGCAGCAGCATGTCTTGTGGAAGGCAAGTTTGGATACTTCGTTTTTGTAGCCAGATGGGCTGAGGTCTGTCTTGGCGCCAGACAACGATCTTCTAGCCAGCGCCAGATGGACTAAGGTCGTGGACTAAGGTCGTCACTGTCAGGAAGCTTGGGTGGGCTAAGTTTGTTTCACGCATACTCTCATGTATGCCACACATGAAGTTTGGGGTCCTCAGAAAATTGTGGGCGAACTTGTTTTCCTCTAACCCAGCCCCTGCCCCCCTGCACAATCCCGCCTCTTGTTGCCTCACGTTCCCCTACATTCCCATGCATCTGTCTGCCAACTGCGCCTCCCCACCGTCTACCTGCCTGCTACCTCACTCCACCCATGCTGCCAGTTCAGGACTCCTTACTCTTACTCCTTAAAGGAACAAACACAACCCTCCCACTCACACAATAGTTCACTGATACATTACCCAAACCCATCTGAGGAATTTTGTCTCGCAACACAACTCGAGCCTGCAGGTAAATGCTGCCAGGGAGCAGCGAGTGGGGGGGAAGGGGAGAGTTCGCTGTTACTCATCTTTACACATGGCGGTGCAAATCTTTGCTTCATGCCTGCCTCCCAGTCCCTCCCTGCTGCAGCTCATCCTCTTGGTACCCCACCCAGTGCTTCCGCTCTCCAATATTTGGGGTACCCTGACAAGGAGCTGGAGTTGGGTTGTGCACGAGTGTGGGGGTTGTGAACTCAATCCTCCCATTTCCTACATATTCCACATACCCTCCAAACTTCATTCTCTAGCACAAAAATCCCTATCCCCCACAACCCATCCCCATCCCACACAGTTCGCCATTCAAAAATTTCCCATCCCCCCGTCAATCCCCCCACTCAACCAGGGAGCCAAGCAAGCAAAGCAACCCTCTAAGAAGAAACCCGTCTCACCAACAGCTCGGGTGCTGCAGGCAGATGCAGCATGGGGGCAGCGCGTGTGGGGGTCGCTAATTTCCTCATGGGGACGCAAAACGCTGATGGATGAAGAGACGAACCGGGATTAGGATTTCACCTTCTTAGGGGTTTTGGCTGGGGCATCTCAAAGCTTGATTTCGTCGAGGAGACGCAAACCTCTGATGGATGGGACAAGTTGGATCGGCAGTAGTGTTTCATGTCATCCAAGAGGTAGCACGTGATGCTAACTTCCCCAGTCTCCTAAGCAGAAGATTGCACTGATATGTGCATTTCTTCTCATTATTTTTTCGCCTAAATGCCCCCAGCCAATGGCTTAATTTATGAGATTGCTGCGACTCGGGGAAAAGGGGATTAAGACGCAAAAGTCCCCACAGGAATGTTCCCTTACTCAACTACTGAAGCACAAGCAAGTGTGCAAGTAGTTGGGTCATGAGAATCGCAATGCGCCCAACATCCTGCCTATCTTTGAGCTCATTTCTTATCAAACTCTCACGCCTGATAGTTTTGCTTTGAGGGTTGACAGTCATTGGGAAGCGTGGAAGCTTAGTCATCAAATATACTCTTTTCTTATTACCGGAAGATGTGTAGTTTCAATCCCTCCAAACACATTACAACATCATCAGGGAGGCCATCGGCCAATAAATCAGTCAGGACTCAGACCCTTAGAAGCATGGGATACCATGATTAAAACACATGAACTTAAGTTATGTAACATGATATCCTCAGGTAGACTAGATGGCATGCAGAAACCAGTGATATTGCACTCAGGTTGATCGTGGCAACTCAGCCACCAAGTACTAATGTTCACTACTCCTAGCAGACAACATTATGCCACTAAAAAATTTAGGTTCTTGCACGTTAGCTGTACAAGCAAGGCGCGAAACACCTAAGAAGACTCTCCATATTGCACGTTCGAAGTACTTCATTTCATGCGTGATACCCTCTGCTGTCGCTCAGCTATGAAGCCTCCATGCCATAATCCGACATGGCTGGAACGACATCCCCATGCGTCCTTTGAGGCGCCTCAAAGTTCCAACTGCATCTCTTCAGGCGTGGTACCCTCTGCTACCGCTCATCTGCGAAGCTTCCATGTCATAATCCGACATGGCAGGAGCCGCTTCGCCATGCGTCCACTGCTTGTACTTCCCCTTGAGCTTATCCGACAGTTGATGCTTCGACGCAGCCGCGGCGCTGGCGGCTTCCGCGTTCGCGCGCCGCTCCGCCTCCTCCTCGCGCTGCATCTTCGCGACGAGCTTCGCCGTCGCGACCGCTTCGAGATCCTCGTTATAGTCAATGAACCCGCAAACATGAATCATGGTCGCGAGCAGCAGCACGACCATTTGCGCGGCGAAGAGAACGAAGTAAAGCGCGCCGACGATTCGCACGTATTGCTCCCCGACAGCTTCCGTCGACATCGTCGGGCTAACCGCATCAACGGTGTTGTTGAAAAGCAGGAAGGTGCAGAGAAACGACGCGCATAACCCGGCGGAGCTCACGGCCAGGCAGAACATGTGGCAGTTGAAGCAGCCTGCTTGGCCGGAGGAAATCGTACCGAAAAGACCCGAGATTATAACGAGGACGCCGAGGAGGATGAAGGCCCAGCCGGTGATTGTAGGCGAGGACCTTATAACGAACTGGAGCGCGATGGTGGAGATTGCGCCGAGGACGATGACGATGTTGACGAATCGCAGGAAGCTCTTCGACATCTCCGAGATGTTGCCCTTGAGCGACTTCTGCGGCTTCGCCATGGCGACGTGCTGCGACGGCTGCGACGGCTGCGACAGCTGCGACGGGGCTGTGGAGGCTGCGAGAGTTGCTACCTGCCGCGCTGCGAGGGTAGAACGGAGCCGCAGCTGCGGAATTAAAGGAAATCTTAATGCCGAAATATGCGAAATGATACGACACGTGTTTTAAGGCTTACTCGAGCGCAAGCTCGGGAACCACTGTCCTTTTTGTTTCTTGAGAGTCTAAATCCTCTATGCAACAATCCTCCCTTGAGAACTACCTTGTCAGCGAGCAATGATGACAAATGCGTTCGAAGACACGCTACAAGGCTCCACTCGCACGAAGACTGTAAGAGGCACGCAATACAGGCCCCGCTAGAACCGATGGATCCGATAGAACCGGAGACGAGTCTCGCAGTGACGAATGCTTGCAACAAAGAGCTTCACTGGAGCGGGACTACGGACATGAGGAGTCACAGTAGCTACTTTTGACGGGCATCAAAACTGAGAACATGGGGAATGCGCGGAGGGGTAGCAACGAACCGGAGTAGTCAGGAATAGTCCGTGTGGGTTTGGAACTGCAGTGGGGTAAAAGCGGGGGGGAACAAACGAGGTGGAGTGAAGCACAGATGGGGCAACTGTGATAGGGCTCGCTGACAGAAAAGCTCGACCGCGCTTGCCGCTGCCCGAGCTTCTCCAGTCAGTCAACCAAACACCATTTTGCATTTGGAAAAGCCAGGACTGGCGAAATCGAGGCTCCCAACGAAGGCTTCACATACGAGGCGTTATAGACGGTTGAATTGGTTTCAAAGAGGTAAGTCGTGATTGATGGCGGTTAATCAATCTTGACGAAATCAAAGCGAAAACCGCGCTCAGGGGCATGGCAGAGCGCGGCTGACTGCTGCTGTCGACAGCTGTGCGACCCGGTGACCCAGCAGGTTTGGTTTGATGCTTTCGTCAATCAATTCACGCGGCTTTGGGGGAAAAAATTCCGCCCACGGGAGAGCCTCGGGCGGTCAAGAGTGTGGTGGGGGGAGGCCAGAGGGTTCGGGGGAATGTCGCGGACAATACGGGGTTGCAGGAACAAGCGAAATGAGCGGGGGGATGGAGCCCAAATGCTCTGACACAGGAGAGCGAAGTGCGTGTAACCAGCATTGAGGTGGGAGAAATGCGTGCCGCACCGTTCGCATGACCGTTCCAGCTTTGGGCGCAAAGCGCTTCGAGCAGCGTCAGTACCGAGGCATGTGTACTCGATAATGCGTGTACTCTTAGAGACACTATTCCATTTCACGAGGAAAACATTTTTAGAGGATAATGTATACCTCGGTGGGGGATGAGTTCAAACCATGTGTGCGATGCTCATCGACGACGCAGCCCATTCCCCGACAGAATCGCAACCCACTCCCTGCGACTGATTTGAGTAGAAATGTGTTGAACGCGGCTCTGTAGGTTTTAGAGTATAATATCGTGGGCTAAGTGCGGTGGAGATTGATTATGCCCCCAAATCCTCCAACCTCGAGATTCTCAACTCGCATTCCGTCCGTACGACCTGCTGCGACGAATTGGTGTGAGATTCATGGTCCAGTGCGAACCATATTTCGCACTCCCCTGTGCTCGAGGGGCCTCTGCGCACATCCAACTGGGCACAAGCCTCAAGCACATCAAACGAAACAGATTGCGCAAAAACGCGTACGCATCTGGCTACTAGCGGTGTGCACCAGGGGTAAATACACACCACGCAACGCAAGCCCGCCAGCAGAATAGACACGTCACGTGCCTCTAATCAACTGTCTCTCCATAGAGCCGTGAGAAGACTAGGCTCCCGCGGGGTAGTATTAGGCCATAACCTAACATTCTAGTCTGGCATCGACACGAGTCGTGACGTTTTGCTCGTTATTAGCGACTTGAGTGTAGATGTCTGCTTTACTCGTATGGTACGGCTTTGACTACCCTTGTTTGTGATAACCTAATGTTAGCTTCGAAGGATTTGAGAGCTGTTTTTCGTCTCTATAACTTGACTGTTCCTGCGACATTCCGTACGCGTTTGTCGACCACTCGTTTCGCAAACGCCGTTAACCATTCCGGCTTCTCGGTAACAGTGCCGTGCCAATCAATAGTTTTCAATATCATTGTATAGAGTAGAAGTCGCGTGTTAATGCAAACAAGTTAATCTTCACGAGTGCATCGTAACAAGTTAACCAGACAGTAATAAGCGGATTTTGTTCGGCGTTCTCGCATTGGACCTTTTAGTAATATCGAGGAGTACCATCGGCGCCGGCTCGTGTAGTTCTACCTAATTGTTGAAGTGAAGTCGAGACAAGGGTTTGAAGCTTGAGAAGCAGGCTGTGGGACTACGTGGCGTGAAACGACTGGAGGCTGAGGGAACGGGGTAGAATGACGTCAGGCCTCCATCGGCAACGGCTCTGTCGGACGTCAGCATGACGAAGGTTTACCAGGCTTGGAAAGGCAGCAATGTAAGCATGCGTTGCCATTCCATCCATGCACCTATGCAGACATTCAACCATGCACCCATGCAGTCATCCAACCATGCACCCATGCAGACATTCAACCATGCGCCCATGCAGACATGCAACCACGTGGCCATGCAGACATGCAACCACGTGGCCATGCAGACATGCAACCACGTGGCCATGCACCTATCAACCATCTAGCCATGTACCCGTCATGCAGCCTTGCACCCATGAAACCTTCCGCACATGCTCTAACTCTCCCATGCAGCCATGCACCCGTGCACCCCACCCATGCATCCATCCACACATGTACTAATGCACCCATGCACCATCCCCAGCCATGCACCCACGCATGACCCATACACCGTCCCAGCCATCCACCCATGCATCAGTGCACTTATGCACCCATGCATTTTATGAACCAATGTACCATGCACCCATGCACCCGTACACCCATGCACCCATGCACCCATGCACCCATGCACCCATGCACCCATATCATTCCCCTCCCTCCCTCTCCCTCTACCCCCGCCGTTTCCCTTCCCCCCTTCCACCTTTTCCCCCCCGTACGCTTCCCCAGCGTTTCTTGTGCTGGGGGCGTTTCATCTTTGGCCCGGACGTACGTTCGCTGGTCATCTCCTTCGTTCTCACTCCCACTCCTTTTCGCCCCTGTCATTCCCCTCCCCCCTCCCATCTCTCTCCCCCCTCGGGCCTACTCCCGTACGCCCCCCTCCTCCGTCTTTCTATCGCCTCCACCCTTCCCAGCGTTTCTTGTGCTGGGGGCGTTTCATCTTTGGCCCGGACGTACGTTCGCTGGTCATCTCCTTCGTCCTCATCCTCGTGCCTGGCACACTCTTCTGCATCTTTGTCGCTGCGCCCTACGCGGGGAAGCTT